TTCTTGTATCACGACCAGACTTTAAAATTGGTGTTCTTGCAACATTTTCAAACTCTTCATCTGTCATATCCGATCTTTTTTGATTTCTTGTATCATGATCAGACTTTGGAACGGGTGCCCTTATAAACTCATCAAATTCTTCTTCTGTTCTATACGACTCCTTTTGGCTTCTTGTATAATGGCCAGACGGCGGCGTTCTTACAACCTTTTCATACTCCTCATCTATCAGATCTGATTCCCTTTGACTCCTTGTATTATGACCAGACTTTGAAATTAACGGTGTTCTTGCAAATTCGTCAAATTCGTCATCCGTAATATTTTGATTTCTTGCAGATAGTGAAGTGCTTACAAATTTCTCATTCTGGTCAGACCTTGAAATTGGCGGTGTTCTTGTAAACTTATCAAATTCTTCTCTCATATCAGATTCTTGACTTCTTGTATCTTGACTAGATAGCACATGATCAAACTTTGAATCGGAATTGACATCCCCTTTGGATTTCAACTCTCTTTTTTTTCTTACATTCATTTCATCCTCATCGTCTTCTTCAGATCTATGGAGTTGAATTGTCAAATCTCTTCGGTTTTCAACATTTTCCGATTGTCTCCTATTCGTTGAATTGTTAGGCTCGTCATTTTCTTCAGTTCCAATCGAAGTTGATCCGTCAAAATTGGGATTATTTTTCTGATTGGCAATTCCAACCTCTTGATTGGAATTTTTTTCATCATTTACGACTTTTTGGTCATTTGGAGCATTCTCATATGCCACATTGACGAAATCGTTTTCAGATTGACTTGATAGTTCATCTTGATCAGCAGGTGGTACATTGGAGTTAACATTAATATCACCAGACTTTTCTTTTTTAAGCGTCTCGGGATTATCATCTTTATTTTCCACAGTTAAATTACCATTCGGTTGTTCGTTTATATCGGTGTTATTCTGTTCCCCATCATCGGAAATTTCAACTGGTACAAAATTTAAAGCTTTATTTTGTACACTATTGCGAATTTGGCCATCCTTCATGTCAATTATTTCATCGTTGCCAATAGAATCCTTATCAGTCACTATATCTCCTACTTTAGTAACCATTACAATCTTTTCTTCTGCGGATGATGGCTCTTCCCTGCTATCGGATTTATCCTCATTTTTTGTATTCATTTCTTTCTCCATATTGAACAAATTAATTCAGTAACGTAATAAAAAAAAAAATTTTTTTTACACAGACTTAAAAAAACCATGTACACTATTTTTTTTTTTTTTTTTTTNGAAATTTCCGATTACAAGTCCAAAAATGTCATTAATAAAGAAAAAAAAAATGTATTTGATTGTCTTTGATAATAGTAATATTTTTTTTTTTTTTTTTTTTAAGAAAAAAAACAGACACTGAGAAAGAAAGTGTCAGTAAGTCCGGAAAAACTCATTTTAGCTACCTACTATATCCATATAAGTAGCGAACACAAAATACACAAAGGGATGGTAGCACAATAGGTTCTAAATTATTTTATCATGATTATCATAACAGATAACTCATTTTTGAATTATAATATAACGCATCTTTCAATGTTAATTGAGTTATTTCAATAATTACAGTTACAGATTGCAGTAATAGGAATTTTTAACCGCCATAACAACCTATTGATTTATTTATTTACAAGAAGTCTTCTCAGTTCATTAAACCAATTTAAAGAAATTATAATTTAACAAAATATTAATCTTAGAAATTAACTTTAATAAGAAAAGATAAATTGGTATTTTACTAGTGCTTTGATTATAGCTGAAATGAAGTCATCAATATCTCTTTATCGTCATACACTTCGATATCTCAGATCTTCATCGTTTCCTTTTAAGTATCTATATCCAAAAATTCACTACAATGTGCGTGAAATGTTTGAAATACATCGTGAGAGAGATGAAGAAAAAACAAAGTTGCTATTAAAATGGGGGTGGCAGGACTTAGCATTTTTAAAGTCTTGGAAAACCGTGGAAAAAGAAATTAGAGACGACATTTTTAGAGGTTTCAGTACAAGTAAAGGTGAAATTCATGACATTAAATAAAATATTGTTAGGAAATGTAAATTATTATATGAATAAAAATAATAAATAATAATATAACTTAATTCCAAGACACAAATTATTATTATATATTTATATATATTTATATGATACAATTAATTATATAATATGTAATTCAAAGATAAATTGAATAATTTAATAACTAAATTGTAAATATCATTTATTTAATATTTCCGGGAATAATTTATATTACCATTATTTACAGTATTGAAAGAATTAAATTGTCCTTCTTGTCTGATATTTTGATTATTATATGTCGAAATCGTTTGATTTCGATTAGCAGAATATCTAACATTATTTTGAACTTTTGCTTGAGGTGCCACGCTTCTTCTGTATTGACCATTAGTATAACTGTCTGAAAATAATTGGTCTATCTTTGATTTGTTATGACGTAAATTTGTTGTTGTTCCATAATTTCGAGATTGAGATGTCAAATTTGTCAAATTGACAGAAGTAGGTCTCAGCTGTACTGAAGTTTCCACATTCGATTGATTTGTTAAATACCCAGTACTTGCATTTGATTGGTATTCTGAGTATCCCTCATACATATTCCTATTGTCCTTTATCAAGTTTGAGTTTGGAATAATTTTAGATTTTTGCTCATTCTTATTAGAACACGATGATGAAGAAGGTTGATAATTAAAAAGCGCCTCATTTTTATTGGATGAAGATAGCGTTGCAGTAATATTAAGAAGAAGCTGTAATTTCGACAAGTTGTCAGGGACACATGGCAACTTGTACTCAGCATTAACTACTGAATTACGATAAATTTTGCTCCATTCGTTAATAGGCGAGTCAATTGATATCCGCATTTGTCCATCATAAAATAATTGCCCATAGAATTTCGAGTCCGCAGGAAAAACGAATTTTCCACCTCTCGCCGTACAAAGAGAATAGATTATTGAATAGGATGATGAGTTTCGACCTGCATAAATTTGTATGTTTCCATTGACATTATTTCTACGTTCGTCTTCAGGACTTAGTAAAGAATATCGTGGTGCCATTGTTTCTGATAAAACCTTCTCATCGATAAACGGCAAGACAGCTTTAGAGTTTGAACAACTATATTCTCTTGGATAATATTTTACAATTGGTGACTTTGGGTCTGTAAGTAAATCACGGAAAGGCTCGGGCAAAAGATAATGACATACTGGAGGTATAATACTCATTAATTGCTCAAATGGTCGCATTGGAGTGTCCTTAGTAAAAGTTTGGTCGAAATTTTCTGCTTTTACATGATTCAATATATCATGAATAGATGGCGGTTTATGATGAGGATAATAGAATCTCCAACTTGGGCATTCACCAGAATAATATTGTAAAATCCAACAAATCGTCTTTACATAATCATTAGCTCTGATCGCAGCTTCGTTAATGTTTCCTATTGAAGTAAAACTCAAATTTGACATGCGACGACCAAATATCACATCTTCTAAAAACTTGATAAACCTGAGAAATCGGTCCATGTTAATAAAACCTCCTTTGTTGATAATATAAGTACGAGATTCATTGAAATAATTTCTGTATGCTTTGAATAAGAGATCCACTCCTGTTTCACGTAGATAAGTTACTCTTGGTAAAAAATCATTCCCAAGTAAGTTTACGATACATACAAAATCTTCGATTATATTCTCCTCGTTAATCACTTTATTTAATTGAGGTACTACCATATCATGTACAATATGTTTACGAAGTTTACTTATGTTAAGCACAACATCTTTGCCGTCAACTCCGGGTCGTAAAATGCGCAGGTTAGGTTCATGTGTTAACAAAGCGTACATGATGAAGTCAGCATCTCCCCCACAAACCGTATGTTTGAATTTCGAATTATAGCCTGGATGTTTACGTTGTGTATTTAAAAATCGAAATATTTTGTGTTCACCTTCACCTGCTACACTCGAATCGTTGAATATTATTTGAAGGTTTCTTGCTCTACCATTTAAACGTTGATAAATGTAATATCTAATTGCATCATTCGCCGCTTGCATAAAAGATGTTCCCGCTGATATAGAAACGGAATCAACTGGAACAAAAAATCCTGAATCTTTTCCATCTTTTTCATTTTTTGAAGCATCATCTGAAGATTCACTTGATGAAATATTGCCTGAAATAGAAGTATTGCTTGGACTAGAAGGTAGAATTGATTTATGATTATCTTGAGCCAAATATCTTCTTGACCTTTGTTCATTCATTTTCGCTCTAGGAGCAACACCATCCATTGCTATATATACTAATACTTGTGGTTCACAAATGTTGAACGCAGCGTCCATTTCTTTAAATACTTTTGATAATACTCTACGTGGGGTCCGATGTTTTTTTTTAGAGCTGGCTTTATTACGAGTTGCAACATGAAATAAAGCATTGATATCTAAATATAAAAAATCTGTTTTGCTGCGAGGTGGTTTTTTGACTGTTTCTATAATATGAGGATAACGCAAAGATAACCACTTAAAGAAACCCGGTACGCCCATTATTTTAAATTAAAGAAATTAATAATTAAAACAACTAAACGAGTTATGGTCCGATTTTACCGATTTTTTATTCACAAAGATAGTAGCACAAACACCTTAATGCGTTAATTTGGCAGATCTCTTGTTTTTTTTTTGATCGAATGATTGAAATATCAAAAGACGATGACAAAAAGACCGCCTAATAAACGAAATCGCCTAAGTGACGATATAGATTCTCGTTTAATTCCCTATATTCAACAAATTCAACAAGAAAACAAAGGTGGAGCAGTATCTGTACATACAATTTTTCAGTATGTCCAAAACGTCGATTTTAGTTTTAAACGAATGAAAAAGGCGCAATTGGAGCGGAGCATTGACAGAGGTAAGATTTGGTATTGTGATTAATTCCTGTATATTAAATGTGATCAATAAAACATATATTTGTTATTAGCTCTAAAATCATTAAAGAAACAAGACATTGAAGAACAAGTTGAAGCCTTATCATCAAATAAGCCAGAATTGAATAAGGAATTTAGAAGGTTAGAAGGTTTATAAGCAAATCCTAATTACAGTCAAGGGACTAATAATTTATTACATCAAATATTAAGTGAATTTGATGATTCTTCTGATCTTGATGATTCAGAGGCAATGGAATTTGAACGACTTAAAATTGAAGGTGTTAAGATGATGGAAATCAAGGTTTAAGAGAACGATTTTAGTCTTAGTAGAATATTATAATATATAATTATATATAATTATATTAATTATAAATATTTATGATTAAAGGATGCAAATCTTATGAATCAATCTATTACAAAAATATGGTCCCAGCATAATCCACAGTCAACAGAGTCATCACCTAATCACACTTCATCAGGCGATTCCAATTCAAATACAATATCGTTAACATCAAAGAGTTCAATACCTATTACTGATAAAAATCAAGATGAAAAGGAGAAATTTAAAAATACGAGAAAATCCAAAATAAAAGTTTCGAAAATAGAATTCAAGAATTTAAAAAGTAGGCAATTTATTTAATTAATATATAAAAAAATGTTAAATTTAATCTGAATTAAAAAATTTGATTCAAATGGCACAGGTAAAGAAGCCAGAAATGATTTATCATTGCCTTCGGCCAGATTATCAGATTTAGGTGGTGTTGACGCCTGCATTGAAGAAGTCTTGGAATTGATTGCCATGCCTTTGGCTCATCCAGAAATTTATTTACATACTGGAGTACAACCACCAAGGTTGGGAAAATCGCTGTTTGAAAGCGCTGTCCTTTCATGCTATTAACTAAGATATGTTAAATAGAGGAATATTGTTACATGGACCTCCAGGTTGCGGGAAAACTTTGCTGGCGAATGCTATAGCTGGAGTAAGAAATAAAATTTTTTTATTAATATCATAAAATTTTATTACAAGTAACTAACGTATAATAATTCTAGGAATTAGGTGTACCATTCATTAGTATTTCTGCACCATCCGTTGTTTCTGGAATGTCAGGAGAATCTGAGAAAAAGATTCGCGAAATGTTTGAGGAAGCCAAAGTTTGTAAATTTAATCCAAAAAAAAAAAGAAAAAAATATTAGTAATTTGAACTTACAAATAATTGATTAATTTTATATAGGAAAAAGCGCCATGTTTAATATTTATAGATGAAATTGACGCAATTACTCCAAAAAGAGAGACTGCTCAACGCGAAATGGAAAGAAGAATCGTTGCACAATTGTTAACATGCATGGATGGTATATTGATATGTGATTTGGGACATGTCTAGTTTCATATTTAGAATATACACCTTAAAATTATTTGAATAAATTTAGATTTATCATGGGATAAGATGAATTACCAACCAATATTAATAATTGGCGCAACAAATAGGCCAGATTCACTTGATCCAGCTTTAAGACGCGCAGGACGATTTGACAGAGAAATTAGTATGGGAGTTCCTGATGAGCAAGCGAGAGAAAAAATTTTAAGAGTAATTTCATCAAAATTAAGACTTTCTGGCGATTTTGATTACAAAGCTCTAGCAAAATTGACACCTGGATATGTTGGCGCAGATTTGAATGCACTAACGACTGCAGCTGGTGTTATTGCCGTGAAACGAATATTTACAAACTTGGGTAAAAATCACAAATTTAGTACCGATAATGATGAATCTATTGAAATGCAGATTGATAATAGTGGTTCATCCATTTCATTCGAGAATCAATCTCCAACGAATAAATTGAAATCCATATCCGATTTTTTCAGAAATCATCCAGATCCACTTACAGCGGAAGAACTTGAACCTCTTAGTATAACTAATGAAGATTTTTTACAGGCTCTTTCTAAAGTACAACCCTCTTCTAAACGTGAAGGATTTGCTACAGTTCCGGATGTTACTTGGGCTGATGTTGGTGCGTTAGAATTTGTAAGGGATGAATTAAGAATGGCGATTGTTGAACCAATAAAACATCCCGAACTATTCAGTAGAGTTGGAATAACAGCACCTGCGGGAGTATTATTATGGGGCCCGCCAGGATGTGGAAAGACACTTTTAGCCAAGGCAGTTGCTAATGAAAGTCATATTAATTTTATATCGGTCAAAGGACCTGAATTGTTGAATAAGGTTTGGAATTAAAAATATGAGTTAATAAATTTTTTTTTATATAACAATGAAGTTAATCTCCATTATTAAACAGTACGTTGGCGAGAGTGAACGTGGTGTACGTCAAGTCTTTGCACGAGCAAGAGCTTCATCCCCATGTGTCATATTTTTTGATGAATTAGACGCACTTTGTACACGACGTGACGATTCTCAGGTTATAATTCATTTCTTTGTATAATATATTTTTATCAAATTACATGGGTGCTTTTTTTTTCTTATACCGTCAAATCTGTGAAGATAGTTGTAATTTCTTGTCTATTTATCGTTTTGTAAAACAGAGAAAGTTACAATTCCAAATACATTTATTAATTTAATCTTTAATTTACTGTAGTCCGAAGCTTCAGCTCGTGTTGTTAATACTTTACTTACTGAATTAGATGGATTAGAAAATCGAAAGCAAGTGTATGTAATAGCAGCTACAAATAGACCAGGTATTTAACTTTACAATTTATTGATATGTATAATCTTTTGTTTATTTACTTATCTCACAAAATAAACATAAAAACAACCTTAAATTTTTTTTTTTAAGACATGATTGACTCAGCTATGATGAGACCTGGTCGTTTAGATAAACTTTTATATGTAGAATTACCTACATCATCTGAACGATATGAAATTCTAAAGACATTAACGAAGCGAACACCCTTAGGAAATGATGTTTCTTTAATTAAAATTGCTGAAGATGAGAGATGTACTGATTTTAGGTAAATTATAATAAATATATATATTGATATTAATATAATTTAATTAATTTTGTTTTCTCATTTAAGTGGTGCGGATTTGGCATCTCTTATTCGTGAAGCAGCTGTATCTGCGTTAAGAACTACATTATATTTAAAAAGTAATAATTTATCAGTAACTGAAAAAATGCCAGACAATGAATTATTTGTAAACGCCAGTCATTTTGAAATGGCTTTTAATAAGGTATCTTCAAGTGTATTGAAATCAGACAAAAAAAGATATGATTCTTTAAAAATTAAACTTGGATGTGCTGCTATAGATAATAACATTACCGGTAAATTAAATTAAAATTTTTTTTGAAAAAGAAATTTATTGTATAATATAATGTTATAACATACTTGTATTTGCATTTTTTCTAATCAAGAAAATATTTAATATTTAATAATAATCAAGTAAAAATTTATTTTCAATAAAACCGTTAAATGTTTATTTTTATTTTCATCAAAAATTCTGATTAGATATAAATATACTGTATATGCAGCCAAAATTATTATAACTTTTAACTATGTATATTAATGCCCTAATTAAAGAATCTTGAATCGAATAATTTAAAGTTTGTAATAAAGTTATATTATCACGCATTTTAAAATATATAATCATCACCCGAGGTTTCATTAATTGGTACTAATTATTTGCAGTAATATGAATTATTATTTGCTGAAACTTTTGTACAAATAGTTTGATTAAATAAGCAGATCGTACATAAATGCTCTTTTAAAAATTCCTTGTAATTACTGTCTCTACCTAAAGTACTTGCTGAAAAATCAATCACCATAAAATATGTAATCACACTAAACACGTATTAATTAGAAGGTCCATTCAAATTTTCTTCTCTTATTTTGTTTGGATCCTAACCTTTCATTTATTTGGATTTAAATGTATTCATTAGTAACTAAGCATGCCTTGTAGACTTATAGTCATTGCATGCACACTTATCAGGCGATTTTTATTCTAAAATACACGACATTTGAGTTTGAAAAGAGAGGATTTTAAATCTGAATACATACAATTAAAAATTTTTAAAATTATCATCCTCCGCTGATAAATTAGTAATTAAAATACGTGATTTAATATTAACGAACATTAGAACATATAAAGGGCTCTCAATAAATTCTTTTATTCCTCGACAATCAGTTAAATGTTTATTATTTGTTTATCCATAACTGAATCTTCCGGGAGAAAAGCCTTTTGATAACATGACATCATTGTTTAAAGAATTTTAATGTCATATCACTATATATTTCCTAATATAACTTAGTTTCCAGTTGATTTATTGGCCGAATTTGAAATAATCCGATTTAATAATATTAATATTTGATACACACAAAATTAATTATCCGAAAATTAAAAATAAATTAACTATTCAAAAGTTTCACTTTTTTCCTGGTTTCGTAGAAAAGATTTAGCGATCAATGCTATTTAAGATTATTTTGATTATAAAAAAAAAAAAATGCTACTTTTACTTACAATAGAAATTAGAAATCAAATGTAATTCAAACAAAATTGACGAAATTGATTATAATATTAACTAACCTGTTCTCATTTATTTATTGTTCCACAATAAATTATAGATGAAATAATTGTTGTTAAATATTGGCAAATATAATTACATGGAAATATTTTCCAATTTCCGTATTAATATAAAAGGAATCAAAGACACGACGCTGTGAAAATGAAATGCTGATCTAAAAATAGAATAAAATGGTTCATACATATCAGGTCTGTGCTAACGAGCTTCAATAGTGACTTATTTGTTGTTGACATTACACATTATGAGGAAAGGTTCAAGTCCAATACTTTCAGATGATTTACATATAACTAATTTTAGATTTGTAATATTTGTAATATACAATATATGAGAGTGACGAATAAAATTTTTCGTTTAGAAAAATGTGTGATTTGTTATGACACAATATTTTTCTAGTGAACGTAAATTTTCTCTCAATCTGAATTTTTTTAACCTTGTATCTAGTCATATACGTATAAACCTTTACGTAGATCATTTTCAAATATTGACCAATTCCGGTTAATTAAAATGCATAAACATGTTGTGGTAAATTAACTTATACTATTTTAAAAAGTTTCTTTTTCTATTTCGGTATATAAAGAATCATAATTAATTATATGAAACGTAATACAAACATTACACAAAGTAATTTGTTTTATTACCCTTAAAGGTAAAAAGTAATTAAAACCACGGAAAAAAAAAGGAAAAAAAAAAAATAAATTCACTCGAATTTTCTTTCTTCCATTCATTCGAAAGAAAAAAAAAAATGTCTTCGATAGATAATAAACCTACAGATAATTTTAATAGAAGTTTAAAATCTCTAATATTTTCTTCGAGAACATCAAAATTCTTTCAACATAGATTAACTTCATATAATAACAATAATCTTAAAAATGTTAAAATAAATTTACCTTTAAAAGAAAATGAGAATAATAATAATAATAATAATGATAAAAAGATATCAATTATAACAAAAGATGATGTAATTTATCCAATTATTAATGATAAAGAAAAAATCAAAGATAATATAGATGATAAAAAACAAATTTTTAATAAAATTTCAACAAAGAATTTACCATTACAAGAAGAGATAAAAACAACAAAAAGTTTACCATCACAAGAAGAAGTAAATATTTTATTTTTACAAGAATTATTACAAGATTTTGAAAAAGTTTTAACAATTACAGAAGATTTTAAAGGATTTGATAAATATGCAACTGATTGGATGAAAAATTATATTCAAGAGAATATGAAAAAGACAAAAACAGAATATATATTTGAAGTTTTATTAAATTTTTATCAAGAAAAACATCTTCAATATTTTTCATCAATTTTGGGATTTTTTTATCAATATGGAATTGGAAATAAAATTGATAAAAGGAAAGCTTTAGAATTATATAAATTAGCAACTTTACAAAATAATTCAGGAAAATATATTTATAATCATTTACAAAATATAAATAATTCTGTTGGAAAATATTTATTAGCATTATATTATTATAAAGATATTATTGTAGATAAACAATCATCATTAAAATGGAGTTATAAATCAGCAAAGAAAGATAATCCTGTATCACAATATGAAGTAGGATATTGTTATGAGAATGGAATAGGAACCATACAAAGTGATAAGAAAGCTTTTGAATGGTATATGAAATCTGCTATTGGTGGGAATTCAAAAGGACAATGTTCATTGGCTTGGTGTTATCAACAAGGGATTGGAATTGACAAAGATGATATAAAATCTTATGAATGGTACTTAAAATCCGCAGAAGGGGGGAATATGAATGGTCAATGTAATGTAGCATATTATTATGAGAATGGGATTGGAACCGAAAAGGATGAACATAAAGCATTTGAATGGTATGAGAAAAGTGCTTTAAATGGAAGCACTTTTGGTCAAAATAGTTTAGGATATTTTTATGAATTTGGTATTGGAACTGTAAAAGATCCCGTTAAAGCTATTGATTGGTACACAAAGTCCGCTAAAAGAGGTAATAATATTGGACAATTTAATTTGGGAAGATGTTATCATGATGGTATTGGTATAGAAAAGGATGTAAAGAAAGCCTACGAGTGGTTATTAAAATCTGCGAAAGCTGGAAATCAACAGGGTCAACTTTATCTTGAAAGATTCTTTTATATTAAAATGAAACCATAAGATAGGATATATAATAATATATAATACATAATAATATTTGTATACAAATTAACCGGTGTGATCTTCTAATTTTTTTTTTAAATAAATCTGCCACTTGTCACCTTATTATATGACACACAATTGTCACATGGTATAAGGGGTTAATAAACATTATCAGTTATATTATAAATATAAAATGAATTTTTTTTGTAATAAAAAATGTCAACCTGATTAATTGAAAGTGTTTTTTTCATATGATTGATTGATATTTTGATGTTTTCTTTTTTTTTTATAAATCTTCACATGTTTAAAACCCTAAAAAAAAAAAAATAAACATTTATAATATTTATAATCTGATAAATTTTAAATCATAGTTATCTTATCTCCCTCCATTGAACGAATTTTAATTTGGTGATTAATCATCCCAAAAAAAAAATATCTGTGTCACTATAGTCATAAGAACTGGACTTTAATTTCGGCAATAATCATTAAATTTATTAGAATGAGCTAATGCGGCATAAACCGACCATTTGGAGGTTGCATATCAAAGATTTAAAAAACAAAAAAGCATCAAGGCGAATTAGGCGTGCATCCGTACAACTAATGCATCTTCCACGTTATATACATTATACTTATTTATCTGATATACTTATTTATATGATATATTTATTAAATAAATAAGGTCTTTCACGTGTCAATTTTGGTAGAAAATTTGGATTTGAATTAAGATTTGAAGTTATTATATCACACATGACCCGATCTTCGGTAAATTTCGCTAAAATTATTCTCCTGAAATGTTCCACAACTTTTTTTTAATGAATGAAAATGTTCAATGTTTCTCAAATATGCATTATTACTAAAAAAAAAGAAAATGCATTTTTTCTTACTATTTAAATTATTAAATTCAAATGGTTTACCCGCCTAGATTATTTTGATCTGATCTGAATTTGTTATTAAGCTTTTACTTTAAAAATCCCTCGAAAATTTCTTGAACAATTCTGTTTTCTTAGCGGTCGGTAAAACGCCTCTCCTCTTAGTTTTATACCAATTATTTGTTTCTTTCGGTTTTATCTTTTTTTTGTTTCGAAATCTCTTTATATGAAAGTTCTTAAATAAAGGGTTATTGAAAAAAGAAAAAAATAATTAAAATAAAATATCGTATATGAAGGATTGCTGGACATATCCATTTTTTCATATAACATTCTAAAAAGTGATCATGCACAACTCTTTAACTGAACTTCCCCTTAATGATATTTCAGTACAAAAAATGTCTACCACGGTACGTCGTCAAAGAAGAGCTTCTTTTAGTACGACTAGTTTAATTAAATATGATAACAGTCGAAATAATGTTATATTTGGAAATGGAAAAAGTCGAAATTTATCCACCTTATTTGTAGAGGAAGAGGAAGAAATTGTGGAAAGTAATTGTGTAAGTTATTAATATTAATAAGTTATTAATATTAATAATTATAATTATAATTCTAATTTGATCATTTATATTATTTTTTATATCATTCTTTTTAGCCACAAATAGAAGATGTGATACGACAATTACAAAATGAATTGCAACAAACTAAAGATTTAGTTACTGAACTTGAAACTAGATTAGAAAGGTAAATATATATATATAAGTGTAAATTATATATTTATATATTTATTTATATTTATATACATTCATCATATACATTTTTTTTTTTTTAGAACCGAACAAACTAGTCAAGTAATTGTTAGAGAATTAAAAAATTTATTAGCGGAAAATGAGTAAGTTACTACAAAATCTTTGGATTTATCACTTGAAATATCATATTCAAACTTATTTTATAATAAATTATAGATCAGAAAGTCATACAACAGCCGTAGAAATTGATCAAGAATTGGAGGATGGTGATGATATGAAATTTGATTTAAATGATGATGAGTTCTATATTTCATCACCTTTGATGATGGATCAATCTCATCAAGAAGATATACTTAATGATATCGTTGATATTAATGATTTATCATCATCACAGATTGAATTAACGACTACTTCAAGGTCGTCATTAGAATTACAACCCTCTGATGATTCATATAATAGAATATGTAGCGCTGTACAAAGTTTGATAAATGATGCTCAAGTAGCTTTACAAAAACCAAATCCTTCTTCATCTAATCAATTGCTTGGCCTTCCACAAACAACTACTCGCCCAAGAGCACAAAGTTGGAGTTCGAACGTTAGCAGTTGGATAATGAATCAATATAATCCTTCTTCTATGGTATGTGAATGTGGAACTTGTTGGTTATGTTTAGAAAGTTGTAATAGCTTATCTTCAACTACAACTACCACGAGACCAACTCCCAAATCTTCAAGAGCAAATTCATTAACTTCAGCACATACTCCTCCTCTTTCTTTAACATCTCAACAACAAGAATCATTTAATACTTATAATAGACAAGTTAATTTGGCAGGAATTAAAAAACAATATCGCAAGAAATTGGAAAGTAGATCCTCTTATAGAAAGAGTTGTGATGATTTAGATATGGCATTACAAAAATTAATTAGTACAGCTGTATCAGCAGGAGTAGAACATGGTTTAACACATTCTCCTATTTATCGTCAATATAGTGAATCCATGGAACGTGATGATTCAGGTGATCGTTATGATTACTTTAGGAATCATGATGATGATGAGATTAACTATGATAATAGTTTTTTTAATTCTTTTGGAATTTTTTGTAATCAAGATCTCTTAAATAATGACAATAACAATGATAATAATAATAAAAAAGAATCTTCTAAATGGAGAAGACGTATTTGGAATTGTTTACAAAAAATGGGTATAAATTTCAACAACAAAAATAATAATGATAAGGAGAATGTTGAAGAACAAGAAGGAATAGAAGATGGATATGGTTCATACAGTTCATATAGTTCATATAATTCTTCATGGAATTCATCATCTGATTATCAGGAAAATTCGAATGAAGATACTTCAGATCCATTTTCTTTAAACATTGGACAAAACATTTTTAATTTTAATGTAAATTTAATAAATTCAACAACAAACAATTATAATAAAACAACCAATAATTCTATTAATGAAATTGACAATAGTATTCATACAACAACAAATAATTACCAAAATTGTTATAATACTATTAATAATTATGAAGAAAAATCATCTCAATCAACATATAGACAATCTGGTTCTAAAAAAATAAAATCATTAGCCACAAAATTTACGAATATGTTGGCAATGATAGGATTAATTATTTCAATGTCACAAACCATTATATTAAATCCAACCAACACTCCAGCACTTATGAGTGTTGCAGCAAGAAATATAATCAGAAGTAACGTGAAGAGAAGACGCAGCCGAGGTGAAATGATTTTGATGATTAAAGTAATTAAATATGTTTCAGTATTATTTGTTGGTTGGGCTGCTGGTCGTATTGGAAAAAAACAAAAAGATTCATCTGATGGAAATAATGGTCGAATTAAAGAGATTCCATCAAATAAATCAAACTATTAATTTTTTCATATTTACCAAACTTTTTTAAATCGTTAGACCGTAATTGATTTACGGAACATTAATCGTTTTTCTACACATCTACTCGTAATTTTTTTGGCAAATCATTCAGACATTTTTTTTTATCTTTTCCTCTTCGTATATAATTGGCAAAATCATTTCATTTTTTCACACTAACTTTTTTTACAAACCACTTTACAACAACCACTTTACAGACAAAACCATTTTTCAAAGCATAATATTTTCACAAATTACAAACAAACAAAAAAAACTATTTAATATCATCACAAAAATCTATGATCAAATAATATATATGCATTGTATTATAATTAAGTATACTATCGTCTAATTGTACATGTACAAACTTCTAAAATTTTTTATTATAATTTTTAATTAATTCGTTTTTTTTATAATAATTTTCGTGTAAATTTTTTTAAAAAAGTATATAGACTTATAAAAAGTACTTCGTTTTTAGAATTTCTAAAATTGGCAATTATTTTTATTTTTTTTTTTTTTATCGTTTTTAAAACTTTAATAGTTAATAGTTGAATACATAGACAAAATAAAATTACCAAAAAAAGCAATCGTTTATTAATTATCATTGGCTCATCTAACACGTGAATATATTGACAAAAAAAAAATCATTTCGCGTATTTATAAAAAAAAAATGGTTCGATATTTAAAGGTAGATTTTATATCTTTTCGTCGTAATTTATTTCGTCGAAAATTTTATAATACAATTAAAAATAAAACTTATTCAACGCAACCTCAATATTCATATTTATCACCAAATTTAAATTATAAATATTTTGTTACGAATTCTGAAAAAATTTCACAAAATATTATAAATCGTAATTTAAAGGATGTAAATATTTCTTTGGTTTGTTCATTATATGAAAATTATCGTAATATTATAACAGAATCAAATTCTCTTCGTTCAAAACATAATGAATTATCAAAATCTAATAATAATCTTTCATTAAATGAATCAGGATCAAAAACGATTTTATTAGAAGAAGCAAAAAAACTTAAACAACAAATTCAACAAAAAGAATCAAAATTATTAGAAATAGAAAAAGAATTATTAAAAGAAGCTTTAAAAATACCTAATGATACACATTTTAATACTCCTATTGGTAATGAAGAAAATGCAAAATTAATTAAACAAATTGGTGAAAAGATCATTCCTACCAAAGATTTATCATTAAAAGATCATCTTACAATATGTAAAAATTTAAATTTGATAAATTTTGATCAAGCATCAAATGTTACTGGAACAAGTTGGTATTATTTAATGAATGAGGGAGCTTTATTTGAATTGGCTTTAATTCAATATGGAATTGAAAAAGCTATAAAAAAAGGTTTCACTCCTATAATTACACCTGATGTAATTAAAAGTGAATTTAGTCATGCTTGTGGATTTCAACCAAGAGATAATGATGAAGTTTCCCAAAATTATTTTATATCAAATGAAACTTCACAAAATTTAGTATTATCAGCAACAGCAGAAATACCATTAGCAGGTTTATATTCAAATAAAATTTTATCTCATAAAGAATTACCAATAAAATTAGTTGGATTTGGAAGAGCTTTTAGGTCTGAAGCTGGTGCAAGAGGTCAAGATACTAAAGGTTTATATCGTGTACATCAATTTAGTAAAGTAGAATTATTTACTATTACTAAAAATGATCAAAGTGATAAAATGTTTGAAGAGATCATCGAATTACAGGAAGAAATTTATAAAGATTTAGGATTATGTTTTAGGATAATGGATATGCCAACACATGAATTAGGTGCAAGTACATATTGTAAATATGATATGGAAGCTTGGATGCCGGGACGTGGAAAATGGGGTGAAATATCTTCAGCATCTAACTGTACAGATTATCAATCTCGTCGGTTAAATATACGATATAAATCACCTCCTTCTAATACTACTGAATTTGTTCATACATTAAATGGAACTGCAGTTGCTATTCCAAGATTAATAATAGCTATACTTGAGAATTTTCAGAAAGATGATGGAAAAAGTGTTGTAATACCAAAAGTGTTAAGAAAATGGATGGGAGATAAGGATATTATAAACCTTTAGTAATAAAATTGGGGCTATAGTATTTTTGGCGATTAGAGTTTAAATTACCCTCCAAAAGTAAGTGTTATTTGTTAAAATGTGATGTTAGTAAAATTTATATAATAAACCAAGAATTATTGTGGATTTAAATTTTATAAATAAATATCGTGTCGTAAATATCTCGATTTTAATTATTGATTTTATTTAAATTAGAATAACGTCATATTCTTTTCTTACAGAATTGAAACATTTGATCTTTCTTCCTTGCTATTGTATAAAAAAGAACTTTTATTTAATATTTGATCATTGTATTGAAAATTTCTTACAATTTTTCATACCTGTTGTGCTAATTTTATTTCACTCAGTGTTATTACTCCGGGAATGATTTCTCCATTTTCTATCAAATGAGATCTCATAACTCCTCCCAATAATCCACATTCAATCTTGGGGGTTTTCCAGTATTTAATATTCTTCTCATCATCATAATATTCTACCGCAATATTTGCTATTGAACATTCTGTTATTTCATTCCTTTCATTGTATAATAATACATCAAATAAATCTTTATTAGATTCTATTCCTACCTTTAAAAAAAAAAAGAATTATATTTCATTAATTTATTTATAGTCTGTTGGATCATTTGCTCAATTGGACATATAGACCTTTAATGGAACATCCAAATTGTGATATATTTCTAATTGGTCATTTTATTCCAAATTCAATTGTATTAATTGGACATTGTCCAAAATCCATCACTATTTATACTTACTCGAATTCTAGCATCATTATAGATATTCCTATGAGTTGTTTTATGATAAAGAAATATATCTGAAGATTGGGTTTGTTGCGTGTCCAAAGTTATTTTCAATGGTTCTAATAATTAAATATTACCCCAAAAAATTAAAATTCTCATCACAAACAAGAAATTTTTGATGTATTGATTTTACCTTGTAATGGTGAATTAGATGATGGTAATATTGTAGTTGTTATTGTTGGAATTCCCTGCTTGTTTACAGTTAATCTTACCTAATTAAATCAAATTAATTAAATTAAAAATCTCAATTATATGTTTTTTCCCTATTTTTCTTTTTTATAATTACCCTTTGTGTCTTATCATATCCAATCTGACTAACAGATTCTTGTAATTGTTCTTTGATAAATTCTTGAAATTCTGAAGTTGTACAATTTGCAAATGATGATTTGTCATTAAATTGCTTTGAGAAGTAAGATGCGGATTGTGTTAATCGATTTAAATGGAGATTTAGCAAATAAAAACCTAAAAAATTTTTTTTTTTTTTTTAATAAAAAAAAAAGGTCAAACAACTTATTTTAAAGTTTATGCTAAATCAAGTAAAATTACCGAATTGCGGTTCGTAAAGAATTGTTTCTAATAATTGAAAATTGATATCATCCATATTATACAAGACGATCTTTTCGTTTCACGTTTACGTGAATCTCGCGAAAATTAATTTTGTGTAAATATAAAATGGATAAAATAGAAAGGAGCAATTCCGCTTCTAAAGTAAAAAATAAATTAAATGGAACGGGTCGATCACTATTACAAATTTTTATATAGAAAAAGTCCGAGTCCAAATAATAAAGCAAAAATGCAAAATCTTTGTACATTGTTAAATGTTAAACAAAATAAATGACACTTAGTATATAGCCAAAGATTTTCATTATACTGTATTATTAAAGTTACACCGCGGATCATGATTTGATCACGTGATATAATTAAACTTCATAATTTGATGATTGTGCTTTTATTATCGTGAGGAAGAATGACAAGATTTATTAATAGTGCCACCTGTGTCGATTTTTTATTTTTATTAATGCATTTTCTATTGCGGTACATTATGCAGTAATAATTCAAGCATCAAAAAAAGTTATAATTAATTTTTTTGACAATTTTATTTATTTAAATAGGACGCTACAGTATATATTTTATATTTTATATAGAGGAGAGTATATATCGGTAATTACAAAAAAAACAACGAAAACTATATTAATTTAGTGCAATTACACAGTTAACCCCCTAAATAGCAAACCAATCCTCCCGTAACTTCTTATAAAGAACCTTCTAAGGAACAAGTGAGCCATCCTCTGGTGCAACGATAATGACTTCCGTTGTATGTATAGTATGGTTAATTACAGTATAAGCTAACAGTATGGATTTTACTATGAAAATAAAGTACCATACTAACTATACTTACTATACTTCCCAATTTTTAGCATCATACCATTCATACCATATACAATAAAGGTCATACCATACTCAATATCTATCTGCGAAAAATTACGAAGCGAATTATCTAAGAGATAGTTCTAAATTTTTCTTTTACCTAAAAAAAAAGGTACTCCCGTAAATTCTTCGAGGAATGGTTTTACACTGTTTGTAATTTTGTATTAAAAATTGACAGTATATACCGCAGCTATACATTTATGTATTAAGTTTGTTGTTAACCAATAAAATCCAAATTGCTTATTCAATAAGGATTTTATTGTTAACCATGTTAACCAATAAAATACAGGATTGACCATTCGCGACCTCAGGTAAGGATTTTACAGGATTTTACTAAAAAAATCTAAAAAATAAAGTTCATAATTATGTCTTTATTTCCATTTAAGTTTTGTCCTTCTATATTTAATTCCTACTATATTTATATAAATATTCATATTGTACTCATTACCCAAAGTTACAATTATAATCACTGTGCCAAAAATAGATCGGCAAGTCTTGGCATCAGGCGAAACAGGCGATATTATTAACAGTCTTCTCATATCAATTATTTACGTGATATTACTGCACCTTAAATTCAATGTATCACAGCATTACGTTTTGTAATAAGTAATGAATAAATTCCGAGGAAAAAGCAGAAATTTGAACGATATTTTTATTATTATTGCATGTCAAATTAGGTTACGAACCAATTTTGATTTGCGTCACGCAATTATAAAAATCTTCCAACCTAACAAGTTTCGGCATAGTAAAAGGTTTCACATTTATATGAATCTCATGATTATTAATTTTGTGTAAACAAATGAAGCAATTAAAGACAAAGTAGATTCCTGCTTCTAAAATTGTCCAATTAATAATTAATTACGAAATTAGTATTAGCACTGGCGTTGGTATTTTATTATAAAAGGAAAAAGTTACACCTTTTAAATTTTTTTTTTTTTTTTTTTTTAAAAAAAAAACACTCGTTATTTAGTGATTTTTAAATTGTATACTTTATAATGAAAGTGCTTTTAATAATATTTTTTTTTATAGTTATACAATGTTTATTAATAATATCGAATGCAATACCGAATCTTATAATGCCGGAAAGTTCAGATATAATATTTGAAGAAAGATATAATGATATATTGGACTTTTTGGTCATTGGTGACTGGGGCTTTCAGGGAAAAGGAGTCGGTCGAAAACATGGAAATCAAAAAAATGTAGCATTTGTTATGAAAAAATGGGCGGAAAGATATAATTCTAAATTCATCATAAATGTTGGAGGTAACCACCTTTTTTTTTTATTTTTTTATTTTTTTTTTTTTTGTGCGATGTAGATTACAAAAATTTATTCCTCTTCTGCGTATAGATAGTTTTTATAAAAGCGAAAATGATGATCATCAAGGAGTTGATTCTATATATGACGATAAATGGAAAACAGCTTGGTTAGATGTGTATAAAGGTAGATTAGCAGAAATACCTTGGTACAGTGTAGCGGGAAATCATGACTGGTAAGTAAAAGAAAAATGTTAAATTTTATTTTATAATTGGAATTAAACGTTAAACGTATTCACATATATATATATATTCTTCTTAGGTATAATAATGTTTATGCAGAAATTGAGTATAGTTTGAATGTGAATTCGAGATTCTTCATGCCATCATTATTTTATGTTCGAACAAATATAATTAGTGGTAAAAAACCAACCAAAGTTGCGTGGATACATATTGATACAAATTTATTTTTTTATACATATGATATGATACCAAATGATCAAATGAAAAATAATTTTAATATATTAGGATGGAATAATGATATAGAAGTTGAAAATAAATTACGATGGATAGAACAACAATTAATTGAACAACAAGATTCAGATTGGATTCTTGTGGCGGGACATCATCCATTAATTGGAGCATGCGTCAGTTTTAATTATATGCCGAGATTAGTAGAATTATTTGAGAGATACGGAGTATCTGCATACTTTGCAGGTCATGCTCATGTATTAGAATATCAAACTCCTAAACCAGATTCTCCTGTTGCATATTTTACTTCCGGCGCAGCAAGTAGAACAAGTGATGGTTGCAGTGGAAAAGATTGGGGTATGCCCGAAGGTACTTTTGGATTTTTACATGCTACCATAATAGAAAATGAAATGACTTTTTCATTTGTTAATGCAACAACTACAAAAGATAAAATAGTATATCAGGGTAAATTGACCGCAAGATCAACTTGGCGTCCGAAATAAATATTAAGATGGGTTTGTATTTTTTCCTAAATTACATTTTAAAAAACTTTTAATATAATTTTTTGTTTACTTCTTTATTATAATATTAATTATAGCTAGATTTTTAAAAATTTTTAAAACAAAAAGGAACAAAGCAAAAATAGACTGACATTTAAAAAAGTAAATTAGATATACATTGTTTAAAATCATAAGAATGTTTGACGTTTGTTTACGCAAATATGACGTAATTATAAAATAATAATAAAATAATAAGAATGTGATCTACAAGCATTTACTGCATTCTTAATTTCCATATATATATTAAAGAAAGGCCATTATAAACATTTATTATTTCTTATTTTACCTTTGAAGAACATCCAATGAATATGCCATTTTTAAATATAAAAAGGACCTAATTTTTTTATGAATTGGACCATTGGTAAATGACTTTTTGAAAGAACGACAACAAAACGGTTGGCGCAAAAGAGACATGCGCAGTAGTAAATCAAAAAAACTGATTTTTTTCTTTTTACCCATCTAGGTTATTGTAGTTCACGCCATAACTCCAAATTAGGAAATAGCATTTGGAGGGATGATTCCGACATACAACAATGAATGAATTTTAAGCATTCAGGAGATGCCCGGAAATAACTGATTATAATATGAAAGGCGTTTGCTAAACTTTTTTCCGATTATTTGAATTCTTTTGAAAGGACAATAATTCATAGTTATGCGTAGCAAAACTGAAATATATATAAATGATGGATCTTCTCCCGATTATTTTTTTTAAAAACTCTCAAGATGCAATCACTATATGATGAGTTGAGTATCGAAATATTCAAATATATAACTACACCTATGTCACTTATTCTCACAAGTCGTAAATGGTATGCTATTTCTCAAGACCCTCACGCTCGAGCCGAATGGCTAATTTATAAATATGGTAAATCTCACGCATTATTTTATGCAATAAGACTTGATAGCTTTATTACTTTAGATGTCGTCCAAGCTTTGTTAGCAAGAAATGTGGTGATGTCACGATATTTTGTACAACGCTTACTTATGTATTTTGGCAACCATGATCAAAGATTGATCGAGCTTAAAGTAGAATATAATCTGAATCAAGTTAATGATAGAACTCGAGAAAAGAAATTATGTGCACCGTGGGCGAGTAATTTGTCTTTACCGATTTTTACCAAATTAGTCAATGAAGCATTTAATATATTAAAAGATCCACAACTTGCAATTAAAGGCAATGACATGGAATTATTCCATTTTTTATCTGCCGGTCCTCTTGTTATTAATTACGCCCCTCAAAAATTATTTCAAAATATTAATTATATTGAGGATCTAATTTTAAACAAAAAATTTATCCCCTTTCCTCCTCGTCCGAAACTTGCTTATGAAGATACAATAGAAGAATATCCACCAAAAGATGGTTACGAGAATAACCGGCAGCTTAACGTTATAGCGAGAGCAATTATAATTCATCCTGATTTGGTTAATATGTGGAAAAGTATTGGTTATTATGAAATTTGCAGTGATGTTAATGATCTTGTAATACAAGGAGCTCTTTTAATCTTATTTCCTTCAACTCCGCCAAATAATTGGGAATGTCCTGATGTGAATACTGTTGTTACTCGATTAAAAAAGTTTACTGATCTTGGATTTAAATTAACGAATAGTGTTATAAATGATATATTTCGTTTATTTGAACATAGATTAAATGAAATTGGCGAACTTTTGATAAATTCTTTTCAGCAGATTCGTAATGAACCGAGATCAGTTATTGTTAGTTCTTGTATTATTAATCTCAATAATCCTGAAAGAAATCATAATATATTAAAATTTTTAAATGGTGGAAATTGAAATGGTGGAAATTGATGCAATTAGTTAGAATTAATAAAAAATTAGATTACTAGCTGTTATTTAAAAAATTACACAGAAAAATGTTTTAATTAGAGATAGTAAAAGGTATGTATCGGATTCTACATTCTTATTTTATATAGGGGTGAATTAGATTTAAATAATTACGGCGGTGTAATGTTATTACTGTAATTCACAAAATGTTAGGAAAATATCAATCCTATGGACTGATATTTTTTTGATAGCTTTAACCAATAATATTTTTATTGAACGAGGGACATTGGTCTTTGGCCAATATTTTTACTCTCATCCAATAATTATAATGTATTACTGAATTGCCGTAATGTTGAATTGCCAAATAATTAGAATCTTCATTATATCAAAAAATAATTTGGAATTATGATAAAATCGGCATTACGGCCATTACATGAAGTGCTAAATTGGTTTAATTCCCCCTTATGTACTGTATATAGTACATGAAAACGACTCAATTATTTTTTAGTTTTATTATTTTTCTTCAGTCACTCATTCTTGTCATTCATTCATCTTTACTATAATGTTAATCCGTGCGGAGGTAAACGGATGGGAGCATTATAGGATAAATTTTAATGACGGATATCCGTCGGTCGATGGCTGCCGTGCCGACAGCACTGCATTTTATGAAAACGGAAAAGGAAATAATAGAATGAAATAAGAAAAACAATAGCCGAATTAATGACACCACTGCAATTATCACGTGTGATACCAGTATTAGCATTTATTAAGAATTTAATATATTGTCATCTTCCCGAAAATAGATATAAAAATTCTTTTAATAATTGTCCGAAGCGGAGCGTTCCGTCCGGCACGTGATCAATGATCTGCATATATACTACTTTAATTCAGATATTTACATAAAATAAAATACAAGAAAATAATTAATCAAATAAATAAAAGAAAAAAGAAAAATATTTAAAATATAATAAAATAAATAATAAATATAGAAAAATTCATCCAGTGACGAATAAGGGATGACGAATAGGATTTTTAATAAAAAATTTCTGTCCCCGGATTAATTAACAAGAATGTGTGATACGCTGTGATAAATAAACCTAACCCACCCTAACCCTAACTCCAATAAATAATAGAGAGAGCTCTGGTTAAATGTAGTTATAATAAATATAAGTGCTACATAAATTTTGATTACATAATTACTTTGCCACCACTGCGCCATGATCTACGGGTACAGGAAAAAATGCGGTCATTTAAATGAAAAGTCAATAAATAATAAATGAATTAATACTTACATATTTATAAGTTTAATCTATAATAAAGCTAATGAATTTCCTTCTTTCTATTATAATATATAAATATATGGTATATATTATTAGTATTTCAATTAGTCTGACAAAGAAACGGAGAAGAAACACATTACCTGGTCTACCAATTGCTTTTCTACCTTCGTAATTTCATCGGATATTTCCCAGGATCCATCATTCTCTTGATATTTTTTAAGCCAGCTTAATGACTTTTTAATATTTCTTTTTTTATTATTATAACATCTCGCTAAATAATACTGAGATTGCACAAACCCGCTTTTAGCTGCTTTTTTGTAATAGCTAAATGCCTTACGCTTATTTTTACTGTTCATAAAATATTCTGCAAGATTACATAAAGCTATATTTAAGCCTTTGTTAGCAGCAAGTGTATAATAATATAATGCTTTCTTGCAATCTTTTCCAATTCCGATGCCATTATAATAGCATTCTCCAAGCTCAAAATGGCCATTTATATCATTTTTTTGACTCGCTTTACTAAACCATTCAAAGCTTTCTTTTTCATCCTTATCTACTCCAAAACCTTTTTTGTAGAATGTTCCAATCACTACTTCATAATGTTGTATTAATGTTTGATTATCTCTAAGTTGGTTAAAAATATCCTTCGATCGCGGTTCATATTTTTCTAAAGTATATTTAAAATCAAAGTTCTTTGTTGCTCCAGTATGGTTATTTTTTTTATAATCTTCAACTATTTCATTTATTGCTTCCGCTATATCTAAAGGTTTTCTTGCCTCTAATTTCTTAATTTCATCAGTTATATTCCAGGATCCATCTTTCTCTCGATATTTTTCAAGCCATTTTAAACCCTTTTTAATACTTATTTTTTTACCATACCCATTATTATAAAATTTTGCTACATAATACTGAGATGGTACGAAATCTTTATTAGCAGATTTTTCGTAATAGTCAATGGATTTGGCATATTCATTACTATTATAATAGTACTTTGCAAGAGTAAATAAGGCTATATTAAGCCCTTTATCTGCAGCAAATTTGTAATATTCAAACGCTTTATCAAAATCTTTTTTAGTTCCAGTACCATTGTAAAAACATTCTCCAAGTTCATAATGACTATTTATATCACCTTTTTGACTCGCATTTTTAAACTGGTCGAAACTTTCTTTTTCACTTTTTTCTACTCCAAAGCCTCTTTTATAGAAAATTCCAATCACTACTTCATAATGTATTTTTGATGGATTATTTTTAAGATGATTAAAGAGACACGTTGACTGTGATTCATATTTTCTTAAGATGTGTTCAAAGTCAAACGTTTTTGTCGTTCCATTATTATTTTTTCTTAAATAACCTTGAACAATTTCATTTACTAATTCATTTAATTCCATTTCACCGGGTTTATTACTTTTTTCTTTAATAAACTTCCAATTCACGTTTATTACGTTTATTATAAGACTGGAAGAAATAAAAGATTTTCTCGAATTTTTAGTCTCAGCTGGATTATTATTTGTCTCATTTCCTACATTACCATTATTAATACTATCATGATTGGATGATAATCCGTTTAAAATACTGTAAACTTCATTAATTTTGGGTCTTCGGTTTGGGTTGTCTTTCCAACATTTTTTATATAACTTTTTGTAATCTGAAGGTGTATTTTTAATTGGTTTTTCTCTATAACCTTTACTGACTTTATAAAGTATAAAATTTTCCGCAATTTCCTTGTAAGGAGGATGACCACTTGTAATTTCCCATAATAAAATGCCTAAACTGTAAATATCTGATCTTTTGTCTCGACTATTATGATTATTCTTGAAACACCAAGGATCAATATATTCAGTCATTCCAATGACTCCATTAGCTTCTGAATTAGATTGGACTGTCAACTGTTTAGATAATCCAAGATCAGCGATCATTAATTTGCCATCGTTAACTAATATGTTTTTTGAATGCTTTTGTAAAAAAAAATTTAATATTAAACATATATAATCATAATGATAAATAATAATTTTAAGTGAATTATATATATTTACCAGATCTCTATGAATAATTTGTTTATCATGTAGACATTGTAACCCTTTAGTAATATCAAGCGCCATTTGTATTTTGCGTTCCCATGATAATGAATCAAACCTTTCTTTATTTCCCAAATAATCTCTTAAAGTTCCTTCGTTAGCATATTGTAATACCATCATATAATTCCCAGATAGATCTATTTACAAGTATTTATACATAGTTGGTTAATTTATAATGTTAAACTAATATTTTAAAAGGATGTTTTTTAAAAAATTCACCTTGTGTTACACCACGAAATCGATTGATGTTATCATGATAATGAAGAGAACGAATAAGTCTTAACTAAAGACGAATTAAAAAAAAAAAGAAATCATTATTTTTTTTTCCATATTTAACATTATAATTAAAATAATGAACAATAGATTTTATACCTCCTTAATAAATTCTTCAAATTTTTCTTTGTTAAGTGGGGAATTATTATTATTATTTAACATACTTTTTAATGCCGCATCTTTCATTCCTCTTTTATTCCAATTAGCTTTATAAACAATTCCAAATCCTCCTCTACCAATTTCCACATTATCACTGAATTCTTTATAATCAAAATAGTTAATATCCTCACTTTTTATTTTTTCTATAATCCATTTATCCATCTTTTTAAGAATATAGGTTTGTATGTTTATATATAAGATCAATTTATTTGTTTATTATTATTCCTTTTATTTTTCCTGAAAAGATTCGTTTCCGAAATTTCGTGGATTTAAATATTTGAAAAATATTGTGCTTATCAGCTTATCGCAATAAAAAAAAGTGAAAGTAAGAAATTCGAAAATTCCTTACTATTTTCAGAAAACAGGATAAATATAACATGCATAATTATTTTTATATTCATTTATTAAGACATTGAAAAAAAGGATAAAATTCTGGTACAATCGCAACTTCAATTCCGTGGATAACAATGAAATATCTATTAAGGAATAAATATCGGGAAATCCACTACTATTCCTATTCCCAGATAGACTAAAAAAAAGGTAAAACTCTGGTACAACCTCCGTGGATAACAATGAAACAAAAAAGAGTTAAGTTATATTTATTCAAGTTTGAAAGTTGGTTGATCTTGCTGATCTTATCAGAAGTGAAAGTTATCATGCAGAAATTCATTACTAATTCATATTTCCAGAGCGAAGAATAATAAGATATTTAAGGACATGAAACTCTGGTACAATCGCAACTTAAACTCCGTGGATAACAATGATAAGAGTTAAGTTATAGTTATTATTAAAGTTTTTAAAGTTAATTCAATGATCTTATCAATCTTATCAAAAGTAAACTAACTCAATATGAAAGTTATCTAGAAATGATCTGCAACACACAGAGTCGCTAACACATATAAATATATATTCTCAATAAATTCAAAATATTCAAGAATTTAGAACGTCGAACAGCATAATTTTCGCCATTGGTTCTGGCCGGTGAACCTCTGAAATTTTCGATTTGAAATCATTTGTAATCATCCAGACTCATGACTTCTACCGTCATTACATGGAATCCGAGCTAATTTCACATCGGCTGGGGAGAAAATTAGTATAGTCTTTATTTTATAGGTATTACTTGTTTAATAACAAGTTTTTGTTGATATTCATGTGTTATCTTCAGCCAACTGATGAGAAAATGTAATTGGTCAAACAACCGATTTTCCTTTTAGGTTAGTCAATTGCTTTTTTTTCGGATGCTTCATTCAAAAATGCATTTTTCATAAGGTTAGAGAACATTATAATGTTATATAAAAAAACATTGATTAAAGCAATTAAAGAGAGTGTGGCAAAAATAACATATAATAATTATATAATACAGAAAATTTTTGCAATTTTAATTGAAAATACTTGAGATTCTAAATAATAATAAAAAAACAGTTTCTTTTTGTTAATTATGCAAGGTATTATACAAAAAGTCCAAAACAAATACTATTATATGTAAACATATACATTGAAAATATCTATAAAATAATTTGTTTTTAGCATATGATCATGTTCAATGCATGTATCGTCTTCAAAATATTTTCTTGTTTACAATGACTAAAATAGTAAAAGAAAAATTAGAAATTATCTCAAGTACACAGTTAAATCGTTGAAGTGAGAGAATGCAATGTTACAAGTTCAAGAACTACAGGTGAAAGGCGGTTTCGAAAAAACTATAAAGCAACCATTGGTCTAATCAACAAATGATCGCTATACGTACCAGGTAATTTTTATTCGTTTTTTTATTCGTTTTCTTGGTAGATAGACTACTTATGAATTTACGGTGACCCGTGTTACTCATGCATCGGAGTCCGAAAGAATATAATTATACTATTCGTATCAGCACGTGTTGATGTGCAATGATAACTGCGCTTCGGACTTGATAACGGTTTCCGTTTCCGTATTTTTCTGTGAAAGGGCTCCATTTAGGCAAGTCCTTATGACGAAATAATAATAAAGTGACTTTTTCCCCGGTAAAGAAAATTGAATTTAACATATTATTTAAGTTTTATTTACATGTTACAATTCTTGAATAATATGAAATTCATTATCCTCCTGCGGCGATTTTATTAATCGTCAAAAATTATGCTAGTGTAAAAATATATAAACAATGGCTATAAATCTATTTAGGAATTTGTCAATATAATAACTCTATTAAAAAAATATCTCGATAACTTATCTTAATGCATTCATTAAAAAATTTTTCAATAATTTCAGGTTTGAACGTTGTATGCCTCTTTCTTTTTCTTTTTTCAAGAGAAATGTTCCATTAAACTAGATAAGCCATAATCTTGAATATACCAACTTTTAGCATAAATAGATATGGTAATAATTAAAGCCGTAAATTCTTTGGTTAAATATACATAAAAATCCAATTTATTGATTAAAAATACATAAAAATCCCATAAAGAATTGTTGATCATAGCTAGATAATGTGGCTTGTGTAAGTGAAACGAAAGATTTGAAGATATAATAAAGTAAATTGGAATTGGAACTTACCTCTACGAATTATGAATTGTAATTACAAAAGCGAGCAATAGTTTTCTTTAAAACTATAATGATATTAAGTGTTGCTTATATACAGTATATATATCATATATATATCAGATGTATACAGTATATAGAATAATAAAACTTATAAAAATTTATGATAAATTGAATTTATTTTATACATATACATATATTTTTGTTCGGAAAAAAATTTAATTTACATTTAAAAAAAAAAGACGATAAATAATAAATTATGTACTTATTTATATATATCTTAAAAATACTGCAAAAGTACGCCTGAATAAAAAAGATCGGTTATTATAATATATTAATTATAATAAGTGTAATTATAAAATATTATGAAATATCAAAATTTTCTAAATTAAAAGATTAAAAAACTATTTCAAATAATTAAATTATTAATAAAAATATAAATAATTTTAAATAAATTATTATACTGTATATACAATTTTTTTAACATTTTTGACCCCAATACTTAAAGGTTTTCATATAGGTTTTACATTCTTCACATTCTTCATTAAATCTTTCAACAATTTCATCATATTCATTTCCATTAATTCCCATAAATTGGGGTAAAACTTTTTTCATATTCTTAAATGCCATTGAAAAATAAATTAATGCAAATTCACCCAACCTTCCTCCCCAATATCCTAATGGAGTACATCGTTTCTCATGACATATAGTTGAAAATGAACTCGTTGAAGATAGGAACTGTGAAAGTCGTGGTGATATTATAGAATTTATGTTTTGCTCTTCGAAATATGATATTGCTGAATTACAGTAAATGAAAAATTTAATTAAATTGTCTTGGTTATTATTAAATAAATATCATTTAATTACTTACTTGACTTTTGTAATTTGGCCGTATTTGGTCCTTCATTATAAAAAATTAAGTCCAATTCCTATAAATAATGATTTAATTCAATACTCCAATAATAATAATATATTTTTAAATAGTGAGAGAGATCTACTTACCATAATTTCTATCCATCCGCCGACTTTTGTTACTCTAAGAAGTTCTTTTATAACTTTATCATTCCATTGTTCTTCTGTCAAATATTGAACCAAGAATCTTAAATGTACAAAATCAAATGTATTATCATCAAAAGGTAAACCTTTTACTATATCAATTTGAGAGAATGATACATTTGATGGAATTCTGGAATCATCAGGAGATGGATACATTAATGCCGTGTCTATTCCGTAAAATTTAGAATTTGGATATTGTGGCGCAACATCTAAAATGAATGACCCGCTTCCACATCTATAAAAAAAAAAGTTATGATTTAGAAATTCTCGTATTTCGAATTTTTTTTTTCTTTTTTTTTTTTAATGAGGGATTAACATGAACCTACCCAACATCTAAGACCTTGGCGCCATTTTTTAATTTTTCCTTCACAGGGGAAGAAAAATTTCCTTGCCAAACGTATCTGAATATTAAATGTCTTAATTGAATTCTATCCACATGTTCATTATCAGATGGTAATTGATATTTTGAATTTCTTAAAATGTCATCATAAGTTTTTGGGTCAACTAAACGAAATAAAGGAGAAATATCTCTGGAAATATGAGATAAATCTGCATTATGAAAATTCTGAATTGGGGAAGAAGGACGTGGAGAATGAGAAGGAGGTGTAATTGGTGGTGTTAATAATTGATTGTGCGTTGAAGAAGCTGTTGTAGAATGTGGTTGTCCCATTTGCTTTTAAATTTTAGTTGATTAATTAAATATAAAATTTTTTTTTTTAATATATCGATTATAATGATGAAAGAATTTATTATTACTTTTTTTTTTTACTCTTTTTTATCCGAAGAAAAAAAAAATGAATCCGCTTAAATATGAAATTTTTTAATACGATGTCACATGACATTTCTCATGATGTCATGAGATACTACAAATATGGCCATATTTTTTTTCTTTCTCATTTTTTGAATTCAGCTGGTATTCCCATTGTGTAAAAAATAAATATTAGAATTTCTATATTTCTATAATCTTACGTCTTTATTCTTTATAGAATGAATATTCGTGTTGTTTAACGTAATGGTAATATTTATATTTTGTGAGATATCATATAATTTTGTATTTTTTTTTTCTGGTCGATTATTACTGAGATTTATCATTTTGTTTATTAATCATATAGTACGATGAAATGATGACTGTTGTACAAAGGCTTGGCATGCTTTTTAAACCGAAAAAAAATGACATAATAATTTTCCATGGAGTTTCGACGGTGTTTCATACTATTTTCCATTTATTTTTTTAATTAAGACTCAATTTATCAATATCGGGTAACGACAAAATAATTTAACAAAATGTGGTGATTATAATGATTTTTATTGGTTTAAATAAATATCGTAAAAATGACCTTGGCGTTTTAGAATTAATAAAGAAAACAAAATTGTGGGGTTAATGCCGATAATGCATAAAAATCGTCCTTTGACCTTATATGGGTAATTTATGATTTAAGATAATCAAAAATTTATCTTGATTCAACAAAAACACATTGTTATATTAATTATTATAATAATTATTATTATTACCATTCTTCTCCATTCGGAATAATCCATTTAAATAAAAACAATTGATTCATCGAAAAGTAACTAAATCGATATACATATTTATAGTTGACATTTCCTCCGCCAAACTGCATGAACAATAAAATTGTGTTACTTCTATTTGAATCCTGGGAAATTTTTTATGGCTTGATTCTTAAATATTATCAAAAAAAAAGATGAAAATAATCTAATAAAAAGCGTTCCACAATTATTGTACAATTTGCACGGCGGGTAAAAGGAATAATCGAATGGAAATAAGGTCATCTAGTCATCTAACATAATTATATTAATGTCACCCCATACAATTTATTAACAAGGTTACGCCAATTTATCATGAGAATTTTATCATCTCTACATTTCCCATTTTGATATTTTCCACTTTCTGGAATTTTTGTCTGGCGTTTAGCTCTTGCATTCGATTTTCAGCTTTATTTCTTGTATAAGACAATGGCCGTGCGATTATCTCTAATTATGATAACGTAATCGATAAACTTAGTTCTACAATTTGACGATATCAAAACGTCTAAACTATGTTGAAACATCAAATTAATCCATACTAAGAAGAATAACCGAAAATCCCACGAAACTTGTATTATTTTAGAAAAGAATCATTCCGTATTCGTCGCCCCTAGAAGAAGAGAGAAATTTTCCCTGTTAAAGAATTAAAAAGACAAACCGACCGCTATAAAGTACAGTTCCTATATTTTAAAAGAATGTTTAAAACAAAGTACATAAAATTAGCCGATTTGATTTCTGGATATTTCTAGTATATTTCTGCACGTGATGTAAATGCGCAGAAAATTTTAACGGTGAGGTAACATGAGACTGGGATATTTACATCTATTATTATATTTATTCATTCTCTAATAATCGTTCGTAATTCTTTTTATTGATGTTAAAAGAGAGAATCATTTATTGGAAATTTTTTCTTTTTTTTTGAAGAAACTTCGTTTTACGAATCATAATTATTTTACCATGGAAAAACCGTGAAAATTAAAGAAATGAAGCCCATGATCGACGATAACGGGGAATGATTTATTATAGAATTTTATTAGTGTATTAAGAATGATGTAGTTTAAAGAAACAATATGTAATAATTATTTCAAGGTGATGATATTATAGTTTAAATATTATTCTCTCATCCAATTTCCTGAAATGGTATGCGAGGTTGAGGATTATTATTTATATTATTAATAAAAAAGTGTCCTAAAATCCCAAAATTGGTTGAACTATGAGATAATTTGCTGTCAGATTTGTGCTAACTTTTAAATTTGGTAATTTTTAGTTAACCAATGTTTTTCAATCCCAAAAAGGAAACTTGTGCATATATTAGCTTACGCCCTCAAATATCAAATACGTTGGGTCTAATAGTTAATGACGACGAATTTATTAATTTGGAAATCTTTTGTTTTTCATGTTTTTCAACCGACTTATCTAACGACTAATGGTTTTAATTAAATGCACTGTGTACTTCGTTTTAATTTTTAGTTAAAAAAAAAAATGATTATTTAATCAACATTAATCGTGTAATGACTAAATTCTAACAATAAATTTTTTTTTCAAAATGAGAATTGACGAACAAAATACCAATACTCCTAATAATAAAAGAAATATATTACTAGTAGGTAAAACAGGAAATGGAAAGTCTACCATAGCTAATGTGTTAGTTAATAGCGAACAAGCGGATACTTTTAAGGAGAGTGATAGAAGTTCTAGCGAAACTAAACAAGCCAAAAGTGAAATGTTTGAAGTTACTTATGGTAATGAGAAAATCATTTACCAGATTATTGACACCGTCGGATTATGTGACACGGACATGGATGAAAAAGATATCTTTCTTAGATTGAGCGAAGCTATCGAATTACTTAATGGAGAAATAAATCAAATTCTCTTTATAGTTGGTGGTAGATTTTCAAAAGAAGAAAATGAAGTTTACAACATATTCAAGAGTATTCTCTTTTTTGATAGTGAATGTAATATTTCAAATTATACCACTGTTGTACGAACTAGGTTCTCTGATTTTGAAGATAGGAATGAATGTGAAATAGACCGTAAAATCTTGGAGGAAAAAATTCCAGATGATATTCATATTATCTACGTAGATAATCCATCTTTGAAAGGAAATGAAAATAAAATCAATGTTAGTAAAGAATCTAGAAAAGCTTCCAAAGAGGTATTGATGAGACACTTATTGGATTATTGTCGAAAAAATTATCGTCCAAGTAGTTTAAAATTAATTAATGATCGCATAAATGAACATGTCAAAAAGGGAAAAGAACTTGAAAAAGAAGAAAAAAATCTACAGGAACAATTAAGAAAAGCAAAAGAACTAGGAAATCATGAAAATGAAAAACAAATACAAAAAAAGATAGATAATACAAAAAAATCTATAGAAAATGAAAATAAGAAAAAATCCGAGAAAATGAAACGAGGTCTTATTGATGTGATTAATCAAGCTGGAGAAAACTGGAAGTATGCAGCGGTAACTGGTGTAGAACAGGGTAACAAGGTCCTACCATTAGTAGGTGGTGCTGTAGGTGGTGCTATAGGTGTAAGTGTTGGTGCCGTCGGAACTGCTTTCAGTGCACTAGGATATGTATTTACTAAAATTGTCGGTGGCGAAATTTAATGATCAAAAAAATCACAATTTACCTAATATTATATTCATCTCCCTTCCGTAGTAGTTGACATTTTTTCTTTACCATTTTTATTTCTTTATTTATAGTTTATATTTTTTTAAAAAAAATTAAATAAAGTCGCATTTATAGTGAATCGCATGCGCTGATTTTACCAGCAGTTTCACAATCTGCTGCTTATATGATTGCTTCTGATTACAAATTTACGTAATCGATGAAATAAATTTGACAATATGTAAGCGTTTAAACGTTTAAACTGTTTAAACTACAGTATGTCAAATTAATAACTTAAAACTTCCCCAACAAAATTCTTTTCTAGAATAAAAGGAGCGCCCCACCCAAAGTACAGTTTTAAGAAAGAATTGAAAAATAAATAAAAGAATAATAAAAACTAAATTTTTTATTATATTTATAGAACAATAAATTATGCTTAAGTTAATCACCTATCCAAATATTTTGTCTGCATGTGATGTAGAGGCGCAGAAAATTTTAATGGGAACACGAGACTTATCGGCTTATCTTAATCTACCGTAGATCCATATTAAAAATGACGATTTTAGTTACACTACGCTCGTTTATATGCGTTTAGTTTATATGTATCACTTATTGGATTATTTGGATACCTGGTATTTCCTAATCCTTAATCCGCCGTTAAAAGATATTCTAAAATGGTTTAATGGATTCAGAAATTAATTTCATTTGTTGTAGATATTGATATAATGAATATTATTACTTTTTTTATATCGTAAAGTATATATCGATGATATCATATCATTATCACTAATTTAGAATATCGCACAAAGTTATTATCGCCTGCCAAGAATAATAAAGTATGTTACGATAAAATTTTTTAACACAAAATTTTAAGCGAGTTTATCTTCGAGAATGAAAAGTTTAAATCAAAAATAATGGTTTATTAAATATAAATTTTATGTAAGTTATTGATAAACTCCATTGTTCTGTATTCTCTTTGTGAATTGTTAACAATGTTTATTGAGAACTTCAAAAGAGGCTTTTAAAAGACTCCGGAAAATACTTGAAAAAGGCCAGTGTTGACAAGAATTGTTGAAAAAAACCAAACAAGGAAATTTGTGCATATATTGTGACTTTACGCCCAACAGTAAACAATCAATTTTTTTCAGATTATTGAAATTATGGGTACGAATTTATTAATATGGCAATCTTTTGTTTCTGGTTATGGCAATATTTTGTACTTTATAAACCCATTCACACACCTTTTCTTCAACCGACCTGGTTCTAACTAATTATTTAACTAGCTTGAAAAAAAAAACAAAAGTAAGTTATCAACATTAATGACCAAACTCATACAATGAATTGTTGCTAAAAACTTCTTTAAGTAGGAAGATGTTCGAAAAACAAACTCCCAATACAAGAAACATATTAGTAATAGGTAAAACAGGGAATGGCAAGTCTGCCTTAGCTAATGTGCTAGTTGATAGCGAACAGTCGGAAACTTTCAAGGAGAGTGATAAAAGCATTAGCGAAACCAAACAAGCCAAAAGCGAAAAGGTTGAAATTATTTATGGTGATGAAAAAATAATATATCAGATTATTGATACTACCGGATTATGCGATACGGATATGGATAAAGATAATATTCTTCCTATGTTGTATGAAGCTATTAAGCTACTTAACGGAGAAATTAATCAAATTCTCTTTGTAGTAGGTGGTAGATTTTCTAAAGAAGAAGAAGAAGTTTACAATATATTTAAGAATATTCTTTTTTTTGATTGTGACATATCAAAATATACTACTCTTGTGCGAACTAGGTTCTCTGATTTTGAAGATAGGAATGAATGTGAAATAGACCGTAAAATAATAGAGAAAAAAATTCCAGATGATATTCATATTATCTACGTAGATAATCCACCTTTGAAAGGCAATGAAAATAAAATCAAGCTTAATAAAGAAACTAGAAGAGCTTCCAAAGAGATATTAATGAGACACTTATTGGATTATTGTCGAAAAAGTTATTGCCCAAGTAGTATGCAATTAATTAATGGCCGTATCGGTGATCATGTTAAAAGGGAAAAAGAACTCGAAAAAGAAGAAGACGACCTATGGGAACAAATACGACAAGCAGAAGATTTTCAGTGTGAAAAATTATTACAAAAACGGATGGATGAATTAAAATTATTGAGAAGAGAAGAGGAGAAAAAAATTTCTGAAGGAATGAAACGAGGTCTTATCGATGTTATTGATCAGGCGGGAGAAAATTGGAAACATGCTGTGGAAACTGGTGTTGAACAGGGCAACAAGGTTTTACCATTAATAGGTGGTGCCGTAGGTGGTATTTTAGGTACTGGAGTTGGCGCTGTTGGCACTGCTTTCAGCGCTCTAGGATATGTACTTACTACTGTTACTCGTGGAAAAATTTAATTACCTAATATATATTTGTCAGATAATTTCACAGTAATCTATATTTTTTCTTTTCCTGTAACATTTTATCTTCATTGATAAGCGCTTTATAGTTTTATATATTTATTAAATAAAGTCGCATTGATAAATCAACTAAGAATGACTCTTTGTTTTGTGTTAAGATAACGTAATCGATAGACCATTTAAAAAATACTATTGACACATCGAACCGTCTACTAGTTCAGGAAGAGAAAAAACTCAAAACCATCACGAAACTTGCCTTATTTTATAAAGAATCCGTCGCCCCTAGAGAGAAGAGGTCCACAAAAAATCCTCGATGCTAATTATACAACATATGTGTTCAGCATAGGTATTTACGTTCGTGATATACTGTAGGTTATAGAATGTAGAAATTTAAGAAACATGAATCTACCATCACGAGATTATGAATGTATTATATACTTCTTATTAATCATTATAATCATTATACCACGCGTGTTTACTTGTAAGAATTTTTTAAAAGTCTCTATCAATCGAAAAATTTGCGATTTGCATTCTTTAGAAATTTATAGTGGAGTACTATTTATTGTACGGATAATTTGTTTTGTCTCCTGCTCAAATGTCCTATCATCATTTGTCGCAAATCAAAATGCAAATCTTGTTGAATTATGAATTATAATTTGGTAATCACTTTATTAATATGCGCGAGTTTTGCTAACCACCATACGGTAATGGCTTTTAGGAATTATTTGGAATGACCTTTAAATCGGAATAATCGGAATATCGGATATCATAACAGTAACCCAAGGAAAAATGTTAAGATCTTGGCTGTGATTTTCTCTATCGCTAATCCCAAAGACGAGAGTTTTCCGTACTACACTATCGTACTACTCCCAAACAAAATAGTATTGAAAGGTTTATATAAAATATGGTAAGCAACTATAAATTAACATATATCGTTTCAAAGTTGCGCATTGCAGTACATTACAAATTGATCACTCGATCACTCCTAATTCTAAGGACATTTTCCCGATAGTAATATACATATGTATTAGTTGAAGTACGAAGTAAATGTTTATTGTCAATTATAGCTATAGTATAGGTTATGAGGCTAGTTTATATTTATTTTATTTCGATTATTTATATGTATTAGAAATTCGATAAATGGTTAATATAGTTAAAGGTATTAATAATGACACTATTTGGTTGTGACAAGAAACATGAACATGGTAAAAAATCGACAAGTTTTTTTATATTTAAATATACTTTATTTACTAAAAGAAATAAAAAAAATTATAAATAATTTAAATTTTATTGAAAGCTACTTTCTATTATAGACGCTAATTATTTAAATAAACATAAATAAGGTTCTCTCTATATACAACGTAATCTATTAGAACATTTGCAATAATTTAAAAAAATTTGTAATCGCGTCAATATTTTAACTGACTGGGATGAATAGATTAAGAATAAGGACTTGGTTTTTCATAATCGGAAGTTGGTTTTTCATAACCGGAACTTGGTTTTTCATAACCGGAACTTGGTTTCTCATAACCGGAACTTGGTTTCTCATAACCGGAACTTGGTTTCTCATAACCGGAACTTGGTTTCTCATAATCGGAAGTTGGTTTCTCATAATCGGAAGTTGGTTTCTCATAACCGGAAGTTGGTTTTTCATAGCCAGTGTTATAACTACTGTGCTTGTGTTTGGGTTTTGGTTTTTCATATGGATCATAAGATGGAGGCGAATAGGATGATCCATAAGGATTATCGTGTGCTTCCGGTTCGGCATCAGGAAGAGGGGCTGTAAAAAATAAACCAATGATTCACATAATAACTTAATTTCTACGTTTTTGTTCTTAAAATTTAAGTTAATTTAGTCATCATACTTACAGGCATTTATCATAAGAGCAGCCAAGATGGCGAAGAAAAGGGCAACGAGAAATTTTTGCATTTTTAACAGCTTTAAGGTATTTGATTTTTTTTAGGTGGTTTGTTTGTATTTTTTATCTTTGGAAGAATGAAGAAATGGAAAGCTTTCAATGGCCGTTTATATAGTTGATTTTTTTATTATAAAAATAATATCTCTTCAAAAGCGCGTTATTATTATTACGCGACTACACTGCCACGATTAAAAATTAATATCAATTGCGCAAAAAAAAAAAAAAATTTAATTCTTTTTCTTAGAATTTGGCTGTGTTCTTCCTTTTTTTGGTATTTTTTATGATCGAAGAGATTTAAAAAAACATTGCGCCTAAAAATAACAGCCCAAAATTGATTTTACACAGTGATAAGAAATTTTTTTAACCAATAAATTCCAATTTTACGAAACCATATAGCAAAAAAAATTCAGATGAAAAAAAATTTTATTTGGAAATTTGACATTATCAAACATCAAACAATGTTATACTTGAACGGGAAACGGATTGCTCGGCTTGACAATGCCATAATAAGCCTAGTAAAAGATGAAAACACAACGATTGAACGGATTGAACGATTGACAAAGCCTGCACAGGCCACATTGAATCACTTGAACTCTCTCAATCGGTAATACAATTGATTTTCGGATGGGTTGCACTTTTGTTTATATCGTTTGCTTAATTGAATTTGCATAGTTTGTACTTTAGAACTTATTTACGATAACACTATGAATAATGTTCGAGCCGAAGTCTATGTTGTACGAACAGACCGAACAGACTTGACCAATCAAATCCAACTTCAAATCTACTGACCTATTAACTTATAATAATAAGCCTACTTTATAATCTACTTAAATAGATGGCCCGAATCTTTAAGCCACTTGATCGATTGACATAGCCATACAAGCCATACAAGCCATAATTGCATAATTGTTGTTTTTCAATTTATATCGATCGATCGCGTTGATTATAATCACGTAACTTATATTAGATTTTATATTTCGCAGTGATTTCGCGTGGAATGTTTTACAATTGCAATGATTGCAATCTAAAAGATTAACTTGAATTTGGTCCGATGGATTATTATTGGTGTTTTCCAAAATAGCAGTCATCGTTAAGATATATATTAATAATCTTACAGACATGTAAAATAATTATATTACATACTGTCCTAATAAATTAGCTTTATTTATAAGTAAGTTAACTACCTGCGTCTCCGTCAAAATCATATGAAGGTATGTTTTTTGAATTTTTTCTATATAAATTATATAGAATATACACATATACTTGTAATATTACAAATAGCCCTACTATATGTGTTATATGTTAATGTGCAATGTCGTTCCAAACTGCTACACGCGCTACACGCGAAAATCATAAAATCATTCATTGAGTATACTGATCACGTGTAATTTTAACCAATGAAAATTTCTATAGTTTAAATAACGTGAACACCTGTACCGCTTATACGGCCTGTACGTCACCATAAAAAAAAATTGTGGCTTAAGCACAAATTATTTTTTTCTCACGCTACGTTTTAAAAAAGGAATGTTTTTACTTTTTAACGTTATATGTTAAAATTCATACACGTTGTTTTTAACTATTATATAAATGAGGCTTATAATTGTATATAAATATTATTAATCTTTTTCCTTCCTTTTATTCTTTTCACTGTAATGTTCGTAATGTAAAGATTTTTTTTTTTTTCCTTTCTAAATATATTATATATATTCGCGAAAAAATAAAAAGAAAAAAAAATGGAAATTAAAAATAATCCAATCACATTGTTTTTAACAAATTTATTAACCTTTCGATTTTATTGTAAGTTTTTTTATATACATATATATTTTATTATATTCATTCAATCAATTCTTTTTTCTTTTTTTCCTCTATCTTCCTCTTCCTCAGTTAATCGAGATCCTAAATCAGAAACTGAACCATTCTTATCATCAAATAATCCTAATGATGAACCTGAAGAAGATCCGTGTGAAAATTGGGTTTCCAGCAGGTGTTATTACGATTTCTTAATACCTTCAAAACCAAAGAAGAAGAAGAAAGTTATTAATTCTCCCAAACAATTATCTTATATTAAATATAAAGAATTAAAACAAAAGAAATTATTGCATTTAGATTTTTTGAAGGAGGGATTTTGTGATAAAGCAGATTATGATGTTCATTCAATCATAAGACAACTTAGATACGAACAAGAGATGAAGAAGTATAAAGATGATAGATGTGATGGTGAAAAAGATGAAGTGAATATTGTTATTATGGAAGATATTTAAGTGGACTTGGCGGCAGTGCAGTTAGCCGAGCCACAATAAATAAATTAATAAATGGCGATGTTTGATTGGAAGAAGAAATTTAAATTTATTAAAATTTTGTAATTAATATTGAATAGTGAATAATCTGAAATTATTTTTTGAAATAAAAACTGTACTTTTACAAAAAGATTTTGATGTTGGAATTTATTACGTAATATTTAATTTCACGTGATCAAAATTATTTGTCTCCCGATGTATGAACAAAAGTGTATTATTCATACTGTGGAGACAAATTTGGTAGAATTCATACATAGCATCACACGCACGGAAAACTAACTTAATAAATATTAGGCAAACCATCCATTATTTACTATTCAATGTACTATGTAATAATTGTGAATATAAGGGAGTGTACCACCTTCATAAATTATTTTATTGAAATTTTACACCGGCATTATTTTAAACGTCATAAAATTACATTTTATACAAAAAGAATGTTACTAATTTGTAATTTGACATCATTAAATTCAATAAAAAGTTTCCCACTTCTTTTACTTGGTTATAAAACTCAGTGTCTTTTTTGATCTAAAATATCACTATATCACTCATATAAAATAATATTTAAGTAATTTAACTCATCCGAACTTGGACGATTTTCGGGATTAGAATCTCAACACTTATTCATTAAATCGATGTAAAGTGCTGGTGTTTCTAACTCATCTAATTCCATTACATATATCTAGTGCTCCAAGAACTACCACGAATATAAATGATCTTAAGAAATTAACTTTCTTACTAGAATTCTTGATTCGGTGATATACGGACATCACCAAATACAGAATCTAGATAGTCTTCTATTTGATTTTGTTACCATTCCGACGGAAGGAGAGCTCGGTTTTTGCGTAGCTTATGTCATGTGTAATGAAAAAGTATTTTTTCAGTATTTTCGGGTTGTTTCTGACTCCAGATATTCAAATGCAAGTCAAATTTATTTTTTTAGCGAGATCCGTTGTTTTAAGCACCACATTGGGAAGTCTCGTTAATTGTTGGAATAAGCAACTTCAAGTCCATATGATCTTGAACGAGGACATTGAGATAAGCCTGAAGTAATGGACAAAATTTGTACAAGTCCATTAGTGCCTTTAGTTCTTACGCTGAACAAATTGTCCGCACATCTATCCTTGGCTCAGTACTTAGTCCAAAAACTGTTGGGTTCATTTTTTTTGAGGGGAGTTTTAATAAGTTTTAGCATCATATGTTAAAACTTTCAAACTGTTTTGGTATCATCTTTATATAGAGTACAGGAGCTTTTGCTAAAATAACGAACTCACGTGGAACATTCCAAGAATTTTTCATTAATAGTAATTGTATAGGTATGATCACGAACAGTCGGATTAAATGATAGAATGTCGCATTCTTTAATTGATCGAATACTTCTAGTGATAACCAATCCTGCATTCCATTTTTAAATTGTGCATGAGCAATAACAACACGCATTCCGTTCATATGCTCGCACTAAAAGGTAAGATTTTTTAAAAATTCTAACTTGAGACATTCAATTATCAGAATTTTATTTAACAATGTCTCGTATGTATTCATCAACAACTAAGAGGAGTTTTTTGTTAAATAGACTTGAGAAGATTGTTGAAACGCATTTATTTATTACATCAGAAATTAATTGTTTAACGGACGTCAAATATCTTTCATTAAGTTGCAAAAAAGCACCTACGTATCTCCATTTGTGCATCAATCTCTTTGCAAGTTATTAGTGAGACGCATCAGCAAAAACAAAACGTTAGCCAGTTATTAGCAAATGCCATACCAGGCGATGTACGCCAACTGAACCAACAATATTCTTTTAATTAAATGCACTAACAAAGTTCTCTCCAAGATACATCATCAGTGGTACAACTTTCAGCGGTTTTCTGTTACAGAGTTTCTTTTTAACAAGACCTGCAATGGTGATTGACTATTTAATAAAAACAGATAAATAATTTTACTGGCAATTGTTAAACTGGCTGTCAAGCCGAAGAGTAGACATGTGAAGCAATACCGTTTTGACTGGAAGTCGAAGAGTGAAATAAGATTGTTGAGAATCCGCTAAAAGTATATGGTAAAATGCTTGATTGAGGTCTATAGAAATCATATAGTCGCTCCGTCTTATTATTGATTTCACCAAGCTTATGCTTTCAATCGGAAACTGATCTGAAATCTCCTGTTTTTTTCAGTACGTACCATAAAAACGTTCGATGTAAAGTAGTAGGTCCAGTTCTCGTATTGCGCCAGAATCTAGCAGCTTTTGAATCTCTTGATTGGATTCCGTATTTCTGCAGCCCTTATGAAAGATAAGAATTACCTTTAACGGTGGTGGTTTTGCCACTCTGGGAAGTATTCTTGGGACACAATATCGGTGATCCAGGTTTTCCGAAATTTTGATCAAGAACCACCACAAATTTGAGAATTATTCCTGGACAACTAGTACTACAATTTCTGAGCCTAAATGTCGTCCTACACCACCATCATAAGAATCTCCACAAAAACATTGAACTCTTGCTTCTAATCCAGCGTACTTTCACGACAATAATCTATACATTCATTAACCGTCATTGTTTCAAGTGAATCCACCGTTGTTTGAAGAGCTGCAGTCCAGCAATTTTTCTAGCGATCTGATTGAGGAGCTTTCCGATTGCTGTTGTTTGTCTTTCCGTGAATTATTGCTACGATTCTTTCCATTATATCCAGACGATTTCTAGAGTAGTTTATAGTTAATGTTAGTTGTTTGATTCCGTTTAAAATCGCTATCAAAAAGTTATGCGTCACGATCGTGTTGATTACCTTGCGATTCAACAAAATTGACGGCTACTGAAAAAGCTACCAGACAAGAACAATGGGTATTTTGACGAGTAAACAGTGCAACCCAGCTTACCATTAATTTAATTAACTTGATCAGGTGTGTCTCCTGGAAACAGTCTTCTGTATTTTTTGGCAAATCCTGGAAGTAATTTTCATAGGTCGAAGTGATCTGGTTTACATGAAGTTTATACTATTAAATTTGGTAGAAACCTGTCCAATTTCCATGGTGTAGGCCAGATTTCAATGAAGTTTCCCGTTTTTGTGGAAATTTTATGAAAATATTATGCAAATTGGACAAGTTTCAATCACGTACACCAAGGTGTCCATAGTGGAAACCATACCACTTCGACCAGTGTTTAACAATTTTTCTTTTCGTATATATAATTTTCTTTAATAATTTTTTATTCCGAAGAAAACTTGTTTTATTTATGATTTTGCGGATTAATTTGATAATAATCTAATTCATTTAAATTCTTTGGGTATCGATATCATTACATAAATCATGAAAGATACAATATAAGCGGAGAAATTTTTCGGGAGAAAACGAGTTGTCTCGTGAAAAACCGAGTTCAAGTATTTTATTTTTAGACCTCGGGCTCAGATTTCTTATTTTAGGCCTTGTGGTACAGCTGATTATATTACGCATTTCCGCCACGTTAATCTTTTTCGCATAACATTTTTCTCTTTTCTCCAAGTTAATATTTTTTCGTTCAACAACATTAAACCAAGCTTTTACATAGTGTTAAAATTTTCTATTATCTAGAGTTTATAATTTTATTAACGCGTATGTGTTTTATTATTTCATGGCATAATTCGAATACGTGAATGATGTTCAACAGATATGAGAATGCTCACTTATTGATTTTTATCATTTAGCTTATATATTTGTTGTGTTATATATCATGTAGACACCTTGATGTGTAGAAAGATTTATTGTGGGTGATAGTTTTAACACTTTAAAGGGGAATTTGTCAATAAGAAGTCTTGTTTAACGATGAAAGTACTAGCGTCAATAGTATTGATATCCTTTTTAAATATTCACTGTTGCGATCTTCAAAGACTGTCTCATTAAGAAAGGACTTGCTAATAGCCCGAATATCTGGAAGAGAAGATTGAAGATATCATTAAATGAAGCGAATAGTGGAAAATACTTAAGAGATATCTACTGAAATAGATATTAAACATGAACTTAATGAGTCCGGTAATAATTTTCCTGAAAAACATCCAGAAGGTATTCACGCATCATCGTGCAAACTCGCCACAAGTGTTTTCAAATGTTTACTTCACGAACAAGGAGTTTCAGGCTTTTGATTAACTAGCTTGTATCTCTGTTCATTCTTCAAAAGAGCATGCTTCTGGCACGAAGATCTTAGTACGTTGATATACGTTGATAGAACGTCTTGGCTGACTAAACTTGATCTAAATTGCGATCAATACTTAGTATCAAGATTTCAAAAATTTAAAAATCAATGATTCTTTTTATGATTGAATCTTTCTTGGCTCAACATAATTTCTTTAAGAATTCATGCATGAAAATCCACCAAAATATAATGTTGAGGGAGCAATGATGGTGTGGAATGGAACTTATCTTCAGCTCGCTTGACATCCCTTTGTTAACATCTAATGGGAGATCGGAAACATCAAAAAAAGATTTAATCCATGTATAACAATTGATTGGGGAGAAATATTATATCACGATCACAAACGACGTGTCACTCATGAATTAATTCAAAAACTAGCCGATAATGATGATGATGGGTCAATTCTTGTAGATGAATGTCACGAAAGAGAACTTAAAGTTTGCAAATTTTATTCAAACATTGAAATGAAAGAGTCTTGATGAGTGAAACACTGGGTTTACGTTTTACGGCACGGTTTGGCTGTTATGGCATGTAAATGAATAACAAACTACTAAATCGTGCTTGTTCAACATGAAATCGAGGTGTTGAAATTCAATCTTGAATCTTAGGGGCTCATTGAAAAGAAATTAAAGAAGTTCTTAAACGAATTCTCTTAATATTTGATATATATATCAAAGTTAATCTTAATTAGTATAATAGAAAATAATGAAATGTATGTCAGGTATATGAAATGACCAATGAAATTTTGAAAATGACTCTTTGTCATGACGAATTTGATGTAGTTCTATTAGTTTTTAATAATTTATGAATAATAAAGTATATTTTTGTGTTGAACGAAATCTAAAATTTTGATCTTGCATTTTTATAGTTCGGACAATGAATGAATTTGGTATATAATGCAAATTAGATTAAGAGAAAATAAGTCATGCAATCAAGAAGAAATAAGCATATCGCTTCCATCTAGAGCCAAGTTTCGTTTAACGACTTGATACTATAAATCTTTTTGAGGCATGTGACGAAAAGGCACGTGCTCAGTACTAATGATCGCTCCTTCTGTTAAAAATGTAGATTCTATAGTTCTTTTTTTTTTTCTATTAACCTATACATGGGGGCGTAATTATTCCAATAATTCGGCATTTAGGCGGCGTAATGGTGAAAATTTATACATTACAGCTGATTTCATAATATACGGGACACCCATCATTTTTACTCCATGCCGAGAAACTCGGTAAGATTCGGTATGACTCAGAATAAAATAAAAACTACACCACTGTTCTCGGACCAGTGCTCCGAATCTAACGATATGGTTTTACCTTATTCTGAACTTTACCGAGTTTTACCGAATGTACCGAGTTGTCTCTCGGTAACTATTAGGTGTCCCGTACATTATGAAATCAGCTGTAAAATAGTATTACACCAGTATTTAGTATTACACATTTACACCGGTATAATGCCGAATTGGTGTAATGTGCCGTAATATTTCGGCATGGCTTGAACCTAATTTACCTCCATAGATGTATAACCAAAATAAAATAATAATCGCAATTTACCGATATACCGTGATCTTTTTCATCAAAACGACGCGATAAGGGGATGTAGATTGATGACAAAAGACTCATCATTTAACATGTAGGTAAAGTAATGGTGTTAATATCGTACCATTATTGTACCATTATTGTCCGAAGCGGAGCGGAAGATTATTACGTACCATGCAATGTTCGTCTGCGTGCATGTAATTCAGTGATCGCATATATACAGACACGTAAGAACACCCGGTTTAAAGTAAGGATAGGGAAGTTATACCATGAACTAATTTTTAACTCGCCGTTTAAGGTAAGGATAGACTTGAAAAACCTAAGGGATAAAATCACTATATCTCATTTAAAGCAACGAATGTATACGTGATATAAATATCCTTAATAATAATTTAAATCATTAATTTGTTTTAATAAACAGAATAATAATAAATTAAATTTTTTTAAAAGAATGAATAGTATGTAATAAATTTAAAAAAAAGGAATAAATGGGGTTTTATTTAACATCGGTTGCTATTCTTACAATCTATTTATCGTTGCTGACTTGGCCAAGTCTTTTTAAAAAAAGACTTGTTGCCACCTGATCACCAACGTTGAGGTGCAGCAACATTGATCGAGGAGGGAAGGGAGAGGGAGAGAGGAAAGAACGAGGGAATACATACTTAAAACACACACACCCACACACCCACACGGAAAGAGGAAAGAAAGAGTTAGTAAGCGACATATTTATATATCTGATATATATTCTCGACCAACGCTATAATCCGATAACAAAGTATCGGGATTAAGTCACATCACAATTATGTACTGACGTTGCATAATTAGTAAATTTTTTAGTTTTTTTCACATTGGTAATTTTTTTCATTGAGAATTTATGATATTACACAATTTAATATTCAATTGGGTCTGGTTCATTTCACCGACAATAATTTCACCGACAAAGCTATTTTAAAAATAAATATTGAATATTTTATTATAAAAACTTTTTAGTTTTTAATCATCACAACAAAACATTAATACATTTATTAAAAAAATAAACTATTGTGAAAAGTACTTTTGGAATTAAGCTAAAATGATAGATTATGTGCTATTTCCCCTAAGGAAATCAATTTCTTTCGTAAAAGCTGTGGGCTCCTCGCAAAATCGACTCGATATTATTTTCAACTTGATTTTGTTCATACTGTATTTCTTTTATTATTTTGAAGACACCTATGTGTGCATGACCCACCAATGTATTCCATCTCCTATGCCATGCTTCGACGACATTCTGGGTTCTAGGAAAAGTGTACTCAATATCGTCTGTTACCGACCAGATTGAGTGTGAATAACGGATTATATTCCCACTTCTTCTTGTTCGTCGTATCCTACACGGATGTAAAGATTTCAAACCATTCCATGATGCTTCTTCTGGCATGATGGCCCTCTTAGTTCATCAAATGCTGATGGTATATTATTATGGGGTAAGAAAGCTAGAGCAGGAATGTGGCGAATAAGTAAACTGAAATTTTCAATTATATATATATGTCGGTGAAACGTTTGTCGATGAAATGATTGTCGGTGAAGTAATTGTCAGTGAGTTAAACGCGACGCATTCAATTTTAGTCAATTATACTAAAAATGTAACATTTAGAAATATACTAAAATAAAAAAGTCGTTAAGCTCGTTTCGGACCTTCTAACGGTTTCCGTCACAGTATAATGCTATAAAATTTTTCAGTCGGATAAAATAAGCTATATGGAGCAATTTTATTATATGATCACGTCTTTAGGAGATTCATACGTTTTATACTATCGTTTTATACTATACGTCTATACCCTTTTCAACCATTACATAATGTTTCGGAATCTTCAAAACTAAAGACTTGGAAATTCGATTGAATAAGTGGTATTACTCCTAAGAAACACGCAGAAACACGTTAAAAGCATAACGTTTCTGTTCTTCCTTCGCACTGTGCTATCTTCATGTAATTGACAAGAGCCCGTAAAAAATATCCGAGAAAACCGATAAATTATAATTTTTTTTGGTTTTTATATTCCAAAAACCAAGGTTTTATCGGGTTTGATTATAATTTATGATGGGGGACAGATATGGGGATAGGGGTTCGGACCTGGCGGTCCTTCTCCTCTTAAGGTTAACCTAGCGCGCTCCAGGCGTGCTCTGAAAGCCTTTCTGATAGGGATTCCCGTCAGGGAAAAAGAGAGGTTTGCGAAGCCCTCGGCCGAGGTGGGGCTAGGCGCTAGCCAGGCCACACGCCCAGCCCGATGACATTTCGCACGAAAGTTACTTCAAAAATTTTGCGATCTACACAATGTATAACATCCAGTGTTAAAAAGTTCAAGGGTAATGTTTACATCTAGGGTAAACAGGTGATCAATTTTTTTAAATTTTTTTATAGGGGAGAAGTACTTGACAACGCAATTTATAGTTTCATATTTGCAATCTCATTTAATTATATATATATTTCTTTTACGTGAATCGACTGATAATAAGCAAGAGTTGATGGATAAGTAATAAAGAATTTTGGCTTTTCAACTAATTATAGGTAAGTACACTTGACACTCGACTTAGATATAACATGGCCGGAATTATCGTTAGATTGATCCTTCGCGCGCGTCTGGACTTAATCTTTGCAACTGTAATAAAAAAACCGGAAATTCAACTTATGATACAGTCAAACTCCGATATAACGATAAGTTGGCCATATGAAAGTCTTTGAAGAATATCGTTACAATACATCAAATTACACCGATATTCATGTGTTCTCTTAAAAGGAACAGGACACTACTCTTCGTTACAATATATCGGTATATCGAATATCGGTATATCAAAACCTGATTGTATTATGACAATATCAGATATGGCTAGGTGAATCACCGAGTCAATAATGCATTACAACTCATTTTTTACTAAGTAATATAATAATTATTAACATAAATCACGTAATAAAAAGAAAAATATTATTTTTTAAATCACTGCAGTAATTTTAGTAAGTTTTTATTTGTTTCATTGTTATAGAGAATGATTTTTTTTTTTCAAAAATAAAATTTTGAATTACAAATGTTAAAAAAAAGCAGTAAGAAAAAATATATATAATATATATTTACCAGCGTAAAAAAAAAAATATATTTAAAATATATTATGTAAAAATATTGTTGCCGGTAAATATATATAAAAAAAAAATAATAAATTTTCTACCGCTACAAAATTAAATAAAAAAAAATCATCTCTTCTCAAAAATTGGTAAAAAAAATTTTTTTTTTTTTTTTTGTTTTTTTTTGTTTTTTTCTTTTTGAAATTTTCATTTTTCATTAAATAAAAATTTTTTTTCTAGAATTGATATAAAAAAAATTATTATAAAAAAATCGTCTTTCCTATCAATATAAAAAAAAAAAATAATAAATGTGAATCGCAATTCAAAAAAAAATATATATATAAAAATATAAAATATTATCCTATTTTAAAGATTGTCTAAAGTGAAAACAAATCATTTGATTTGATATAATATGAGCGGACTAATTTTTTTATAAATTAAGATTAATATAAACTTAAAATCATAAAATAAGCATATTTTAGCCCGCTCTACAAGGAAAAAAAGTAGATTTTGAAAACTATTTTTGACTTTACATTTGAGCAAAAAGATTTTGCTAATCATATTCAAAAATGGATAGACAAAACTGAAAATCGAAAACGGCATTCAAAACATCATTTTGTGCTTTAAGTAAACTTGCAGAGCAAGCCAAAAATACACTTAGTGTATATGTTGTGCCCCAAGTTGATGATTGCCCCAAATCAACGATCGGCCTAAATTATCGGCCNATTTGAAAAATCTATGACGCCAAATCCAATAAAAAAAGGGCATGAAAGGTCCCCTCCAAAAAAATAATAATTGAAGACGAAAAATAAAAATTAAAATAAAAAAATTTGGTTTGTAAAAGTATAAATCGTCTTAGTAAAAAGAAGGAACCAATCACGCTTAATAAAAAAAATAAAATAAGTTGGAATGGGTCATAAATTGTTTTGTAAAAAAAAATATAAAAAAAATAGCACTTGTATCCGCGGAATAGGGGCCCAAAAAATTTGACAAGAATTGGCAAAATAGTACTATTCTAGAGAAGCTTCTGTTTCTTATTTAAAGATGTCCATTTGTATCGGAAGAGCCGGAAGAGCATCAAGTTGTCGTTTAAATTTTTTGACTATCTTCTTTGCATTCTTGAACATTTCCGAATACGTTGAGAACTTTAAGCATCTTGTTGCGCTGAACCTTCATCTCACGTGATTGAATTTTTTTTTTTTTTGGTTTTTTTTTTTTTTTTGAAACGTTTCGATAATAAGTTTTTAATATTAATTTTTGTTTCCAAAACTCAAATTTAATCATCTATATATTATTATTACATTAACACTGATTGAAATTTAAATATATTAGAAATTTGTAGTATGAAGATGACAGTAAATCAAAAAGAAATATTTTAAACACTTACGCTCAAAGAATCTTTCGTCCGCTGTTCTTACCAATAAGAATCGATAAGAACCATCGATGATAAATCAACATGAGGATTGGCGTAGAATTATTAAGGTAATAATTAATTAATTAAGATAAAAACTTTTTGAAGATTATCGGATTTGTGCCTTGTTGTAGAAGTTCTTTGATTTTGTTGAAAGAGGACTAAAAGTTGCGTTTACGTTAAAATAATATCCATAATAATAGAGTTGGGATCCAAGAGCTTTCCAAAGTTTTTTTTTAAAAAAATCCTCAAAATCTTCATTTGAATCGATACGGATATATATTATAATATACAAGTTTGATGGAGTCCACCAACGTATCGATAGATATTAAATTATATAAGTCTATAAAAAATATACATTATCTATCTGTATACGTGAGAGAAAAAATCGTTAGTATAAATAAATAAGGTTTATTCTAATAATTATAATTTAACTTACAATAAAAATTAAAAGTCTTCAATGGGGGGGAATTAATGATAAGCCGACTAAACTAGAGCATTAGGAAGCCATGCCGGGAACTTTTTATGATAATCCTTGAAGGGAGTGATGTCAATTTAAAAAACATTTAATCGAGATCTTAGGCCAGTGATTCTCGAGAAGTTCATGTATTTGTAAATTGGACAATAAAGGGATGGCTTAAAATTGAAGGTAACATCAAAATTAGTAATTTTTTTTTGGTGAATGGGAAAAAAAAAATTTTTTTTCATAGAAAAAATAAGGATTGAAACCTGTATAGCTTGTGGCTTAGAGCAGAATCTGAAAATTTGGTAAGTGTGGGAGATTCGGTAATGTGAGGATTAATGTTAAATCATGTAAATCATGTTAAATCATGTAAAAAAGAATGGTTAAAGTTAAAAAAAAAAAAAAGGTGGGAAGACTTTTATGAGAAAAAAGTAAAGTATAAATGAGGCGCAGTAAAAGTAATTTTTTTTTTTTTTGAACGATCATTAACCTTTTGTGTCAAATATCTGGACACAAAATTAAAAGAGGATAAGATAAACACAAAGCCATTATTGTAATCATAAATGATTATTAAATGACAAAAGTTTAGATTCTTAAAAAGAAATCTAAATGCGACGATAACTGTGCTAGATATTGCAGAAATTTCATGGGGCCCTTCTTTGAATAGCATGGGCCGATGAAATCTGTAACTCTTGTACAGCGCGGGCCCAATGTATTATAACAATTTGAGATGACAGGGTGTATCTCGTAGAGGATAACTATAAAAAAAGAAAAAAAGAAAAAAAAAAGAAAAAAAAAATAATTATAAAAGAATTATAATAGTGAATAGTAGTGTGTGTGTATAATAAAATTTTTTTGAAATATTTAATTACCGTGGTTTTAAGAAACCGCACCAAAATTCGAGTATTTATAGTATTTAACATCGTGTTTGGAAATTAAAGAATGGGCTTTGATGTTTTGAAGAGTAAAAGGAACTTGAACGCGGAGAATTTATGTGAATTTGAATAAATTGTGGCTTCTCGTGTGAAAAAAGGTTTAGAGATTCAAAAATCCAAGATTAACGGGATGTTTGTAACACGAGCTTCTCGTGTTTGGATCTCTTGGCAATATTGTTGAGGTAATTGTTATAATTTCTTGAATTAAACATGAAAGAAAATTCTCGTGACCATGTTTGTGAAATTTGAGAACTTGATTATTTGAAATTTATGTTCGTTTGACAAAACATATCTACAGATCTTTATGATAAGCTCATTCGAATAGGTAGAAGAAGAAGAAGTCCACACTTTTGGGATAAAAAGAAAAAAATAAAAATAAAAATAATAAAATAATAATAAGATCAAAATTATATTCATTAAAAAGAAAAAGAAATAAAAAAAAAAAATTACATTTTATTTGTGTTATTCCGACAGTTTAGGTTCTTTTGATATTTTATATTTTTTAATACTAAATTGACCGTAACGTTGTCCACAAAACATTTTTTTTTTTTTTTTTTT